TTTAATTAGATAGGTCCCAATCGGGCTACAGTAGTAGCATGCTAAAAGCATTTAGTAACGAATTTCATTTGAAACACTAGTTGTCCTTCAAATGCTAAAACATGAAACAAAATTTGATACATATGCTAATCGATCAAGACAAGTAAAAGGGACATTTCTTATAATCATGACCACTACCTGCTGCATGCTACAAACAATTTTATAACAACAACAAAAATATTAATATTATTGCTATGGATAAAGTCTTTTTCATTCAATTCTTAAGAATGATTCAACATATAAAAAATGATTTGGGAATAACACCAAATGTTGTGTCATTTTCAATACTACTGTCATTTAAATGTGTCCTTAAAATTTTCTTATTAGGAGTGAATTTTTTAAAAATAGATATAAAAAAAACAAATAAACCGACACAATACCTTGCATGATCTTTGTATGGATGAGTTTAATGAAAGAACTTCATAATTTTAAGCGACTTCATAAAAATGTCTTTGGGGAAGAAAACGTGCAACAAAAAGGTACACGGAATTCTGTCAAACTTATCCAATAATATCAACCGATAACACTAAATTTACAAAATCCAAAAGTGATCACTTGAATTGAGAAAATAGAAAATTATTTTAGAAAATTATAAAATATAGTTATTTGAAAATAATAATTTTTATGACTTAGTTTTCAGAAAACAGCTCTCAAAAAATTGAACCAAGTAAAATTTTTATGTAGTTTCTAATTTTCAGTTCTATGAGAACAATAAAATGTTTTGTGAGTGACAAATTAAGCAGACTATAAAACTTGAGCAATAGTCAATAATGAAGGGAGTTAAGGACAATTAAATTCTTATTTTTTTGCATTTTTATATGTATATTTCTTACAAATTACAAAGTGCCCCTTAAAAATTACTGGAGGTGCTTCATCTAATTTTTTTTAACCATTAAATTTTTGAAGGTGTAAAAATCTTGATGCACCTTCACTTATCCAACTACATTATGCCCTACCCCCACATGAAATCCTAACTCCGTTCCCAACTCACTGGTGAGGGAGCAGGTATTCCACCTTCACCATTCATAAGGTTTAATTACAAAGCATACATCGTCTTTAATTACAAAATTAGAAAAATAATAAATAAATAAAGTAATTAAAAAAGATGCGTGAATTTGTGATTGGACCACATATCAGTTGTGAGAATTGAACACTTCCATCTCCAGCGGTCTGTTAAATTTTTGGGTAAAGTACACCAACACCCCGTGAGGTTTACCAAAAGAACACATAGATAAAACTTAGCCCATTTTGAGACAAAGACACCCCCTCAAGTTTAATAAAGTTACCAAGGACACCCCAATGGCAATGAATTGATATTTTTATCCTTTAACTTTAATATTAACCTATTTAAATGTTAAAATGACCTCTTTAACCTATGCTCACCAACCCTTCCTTCTCTCACCTTCTTCGTCTTCCCTGTATATGCCCGCACTGTCTCTCCCTATTGGTTAAGCAGGCAAGCATTTCTTATTATCTTCTGTACCCGCCGAGCAGGCATCCCAATTGGATAAACTACCTACCTATATTAACAAGCTATTCCATCCCTTTCAAAGTTATGGCTGCTGATGTGTACTTTTGCCCCCTGCACCTTATGATCATGCTGAATGAAGGATGTCGGAACAGTTTCTTTCACCGTCGCCAATGACCACCACTTTCGCATAGTGTGCATTTTTCTTTCTGGCAACGATTTCAAGTGCAAGCATAACGAACCCATAACCATCAGATTTCTGATCGGCAACCTCTTTAACGACTCCATAAAGAGACAGTTCCCATCGTCCTTCACCGTCCTCATCACTGCTGGACTCTTTGCATCGCCGTTCCTCAGCCTCTTCCAGCCTCGCGTGTGGGCCCAATCGCCGTCGGGATCCGGATCATCCAACAAGACGGCGCCGATTGCGCAGTCTTTTCCGGAGCACCACTATCTGCCGTCCCTCCTCTCCAGCTATCCAAGCCGCCGGCAACATCGTGAACGTTGTCCCAAAATCCACCACCATCCCACCTTTACCTCCTCTATCAACCATTTTCATGCTCTCCAGCGCCGGAATCCGCCACTTACCAAACCGTATAATATGTAAAACACCCAAATAAATTAAACCACCCAAAATTTATATCGCTAATGGTTGTTGAATAAACAAATTATGGACAATTTTTTCTTGAACTCTAGGTTTAGAATACAATAATTTGTTGGTCAAAGCCGGTGATTAATTATTACTTAAAATATATATTTTTAATTGTATGTTTGGATATATGTGGAGTGCTGTATTTTATTTATCTGGGCAGAGTTGATGCATTTTGAATTTTTGGAGAACCAGCGCCTGTGACGACATGGGTATTAGGTTTGGAGGCAGGGATGAAGGTCAAGGTGAAAGGAGAACAGGTTGAGAGAGAGAAGAGGGTAATTGCGTCTTTTACTATATCTGATATTTTATAATAAATTTAATTTTAATATTAAGGGGTAATTTCGTATTTTCGGAAGATTTAAGGCCTTATTTGGACAGAATTTCTTACAAGGGGTGTCTTTGTCCCAAAATAGACTAACTTTCATCTGTGTGTCCTTTTGGCAAACCTCAGGGGGTGTTAATATACTTTACCCTAATTTTTTTTTTGTAAATCTAATGTGTCAGAGTAGATTTACACAAAAAATTTGTACTAATTATTTTTAGCTCCAGCGGTAGTTTTATACCTTTTATGTAAAAAACTATCCCCTAATAACAACCAACCACGTGTCATACCCAAGATCCTACATAACGTTTACAAACCTACTTTATTCAATTTACTTTTTGTCAATTAAACCTCATGTCTCAATCTTGCTCAATTAGAAAAAAAATAATAATTTCCCCTTATATTTCATTTTCCCATCCTGCCAATAGCAAACCTTTTACGTCATCGTCACCGGAATAATAAAATAAGATTTAAGTATATAGAAACTACATGATTAAAATATATATATAGTCTTTTGCTAGTACATATTTATCTCATTAGAATAGAATGTAAAAGGTTAAAAAATCTAAAAAAATCCTAAAATCTAAAGTATGATTGAATTTTTCGAAAGTGATGAATCAAACTATATTTATTAAAAAAAATAAAGAAAAGATGGTCGAGCCGTTCTTACCTTACCACCAGTTACATATTATTCTCTATTCCACTCTAGAAAAGTGGGAAACAAAGAGGCGTAAAAGAATGAGAGAAGAAAGAGATCCGCGGGTGAGAAAGGGGAGGAGAGAGAAAATATGCTTACATGGCAATGTAAATGTGCGGCTTAAAATACACAACCCTTTTACACATTGGTGATGTGGTAGTGTATCATAACAGACGGCTGGAGATGAAAAAAATTTACAAATCACATGTGGCAGTTTATATTTTACACAAGAATTTTTTAACCGACCACTGGAAATGCTCTTACTCATCGGTGAAGAGGTAAATACTGTCAATAAAAATTTTATTGTGTATTTACGCAGCTACCTATGTATTGTGATATGAACGGATACGAGACACTGAATGAGTTACATGTTGCATAATTCCACATCATCTAGATAAGGTGAATATGAAGTTCTATATGTTAATATCGTATCCAAATAATATGAGACATTTTGAGATAAAATTCAATGATTAAACCATGCAATCTCGGCACAATTTCAAATCACTTGAGTAAGTTTCCTATGAGGCCAGGGGTAAAATTCTAAATTTATTACAAGGCCATTTGAAGTAAAGTAAATGATTATGTAAAGTAATTTTCCTTTACTAAACTTACAAAAAATTATTCCAAAATTTTTCATTTCCCCTTGCAAGGGGTGGGCCGGGGCTTGTATCTTGCCCTTTTATTTGAATATTTTTCTCAATAGGAAACCAGTTTGTAAAAATTGTGTTCTACTTTTTATTGATTATATGATTTGGACTTTGAATATGAATAATTATGTCATACATATGTTGTTAAATTTGACATTAATGATTAATTTGATATAGGGTAAAAATGAATATTACTATGTCTGTCCCATATTAGTAGTCCATTATCTCATTTTAGACATCCCAAATTAGTTGTCACTCTTGAAAGTAAAAAAACTTTATCTTTTCATCATTCTCCTTTATATTTTGAAAATTTTTTAAATTTGGTAACTATATATATCTAAACTAAAAAAAACAAGTCGATAATTTTAAAAGAAGACAATGCATTAATTATATGTCTCCTTAAAAATTCCAATTTCTAAACATATGGACACGAGGATATCTAATGTGGGACGGAGGGATTATTTTTTTTTATCTTATTTGGAAATTAATTAATTTAATATAGAGTAAACAAGAAATTTTTTTTTATTTTTTAATTTATCTGTAAATTAATGAGAGGAAAAGTTAAGAATGATAGGGATTGGTTATGGCTACGTCCAATAAATTATTCTTGAATTTAATATCAGAAGGAATTTACTACTTACTACTGCAATCTTAATTTACTTAAAGTTTCGGTATGCAATTTTAATTTACATGTAGCATTCTCGATGCATTTAAATTGTAGTTCAGTATATTTGTTTTATATATCAAATTTAACAAATTAATAATATGTGTTAAAATTTATAACAAATATAATAAATATTATAAAATAAATGTATTAAAATAAGATTTAAGTATGCTAATTTTTTTTTTTTAAAAAAGGAAAAATAAAATAAAAAAGGTTTACAAATGCAAACAGAAATTTGCGAGGATCGCACCGACTAGAAAGAATCATCGATCGGACCATCAGTGACAGAAACAAAGAACGAACTAGTAATATTAAAGTTTAGTTCGTGTCTCGTACGCGTTGTGAATGTCTGTCTCCTCTAATTATAGACAAAAAAAAAAAAATGAAGGAAACTATTGTGTCATAATATTCTGTATATACTCCGTAGAAGGGTAAAAGTGTAAAAGATTCCATTAGCCTACAGAGACAAGTCCTAGATGTGTTTCGTATATAAATAGCGAGAGAAAGTAGAACACAGAGAGGAGAATAAATAGGGAAAGAAGGAGAGCTTTGAGTTGGGTTTTGGGGGGTTCTTGAAAGATAAAGTAACAATGGCGGACATGTTCAGTAACAGAGGGGCGCTTCGGGTTTCGATGTGCGGCGCCGAACAAGAGATTGAACAGTTGTCCAGAGACGGAAGCCAGTATAGTCTCTCTACTGGGATTCTACCTTCTCTTGGCGCAAGAAGTAACCGCAGAGTTAAGCTTCGCAGATTCATTATATCCCCTTATGATCGCCGCTACAGGTATTTCTCTATCATCTCTACTCTGTTTCTCTCTCTGTTATATATATACATATATATGTGTGTGTGTGTGTGTGTGTGTATGTGTGCGTGATTACGGTTCCAAAGTGTTTTTTTATATACGGTTATATAGACATTGGATCCTGTGCTTCTTTATAGTTGTGACGTATATTCCAAGTTCCAACCTTTCCTTGTTATTTCAGTTTTCTTGAGTTTGTTTCTTTATAATAATGTATAAAGATTTTCTGGAAACCTTGGTATAAAAGTTCTAATTTTGAGGTTTATTGTTAATTATATTTCAAAAGGATATAGCTTTTATGGAACACAATCTCTTAATGTATAAAAGATTTTCTGGAAACATCTTGGTTTATTACAAATTCTTTTTCAAAAAGATACTGCTTTTATGGAACACAATCCCTCTATCTGTGTGCGTGTGTATAGTTGTACAATTGAACCGTTTCACTTCTCTCATGTTCTGTTATTGATTTTTGGTTGAAATAATTTATCTGTTTTTTTTTTTTTTTTTTTTAATGTATTTTTTCTTTGTATATTGAAATCACAACAATGATTCAATGAACCTTGTGATGCCTTCTTAGTATCATAGAAGTACCAATCATGTTTTATTTCTTTTGTTTTCTTTTACTCTTTTGTATATACCTTTTCCGTTGAGAATGTTTTGTTATTGTTGGAATCTTTTAGTCTTGCCAACTAACACTTTCCCAGTAAAAGTATATGCTTTATTTCTCTTTTTGTGTGGAAATTTTCTGGTCTCAGCTATTTTTTTCGATTTTTTGAATACAGTTCATTTTGTTTTCCCATATTTTGTGATGGCAAATTGACTTCTTTTCTTTTCTTTATCTTGTTATAACTTCTGTTTGATAATAATTTTTTGTTAAATAGTAACAATTTTAATTGATCTTCGTTTTTTCCCCTTTTATTTATTTATTTATATTTTTGTCAGTGCAATTGTGATTAATTTATGGTAGCTATGAAGGATTTCAAAGGTTTATGACCTTTCTGATTAGAAGAAGAAGGTGCTTTTTGCTACAATTACCTCACGGTAAGCTGATTTTTGCAGGGCATGGGAGACTTTACTGGTTGTTCTGGTCCTCTATACTGCATGGGTGTCACCATTCGAATTTGGTTTCCTTCAAAAGCCGCAAAGAGAACTCTCCATTGTTGACAATGTTGTCAATGGATTCTTTGCTATTGATATCATTCTCACCTTCTTTGTAGCTTACCTTGACAGAACTACCTACCTTCTTGTTGATAACCCAAAGCAGATTGCTTTGAAGTATGGAAGTACTTGGTTGGCATTTGATGTCATTTCCACAATCCCTTCTGAACTTGCTCGGAAGATCGTTCCATCCCATGTCATGTCATATGGCTTGTTCAACATGCTTCGTCTCTGGCGTCTCCGTAGAGTTAGTGCCCTTTTTGCAAGGTAAATTGGATTCTCCTTCTAAATTCTCCAAATCAAAACAGTGCTTCCAATAACTGTTTTTTATAATATTGTTTAGCTGAGTAAACATTAGTACTTGCTTAATATTTAAGGTATATAGTCATATTACCCCTCTATTTTTATTTATTTATTTATATTTAAAACAGATTGGAGAAAGATAGGCACTTCAACTACTTTTGGGTTCGATGTGTGAAGCTCATTTGTGTAAGTATATTTGAGGATATTTGGGGGGTTGTGCTTGAAAGAAATGGATTTTTTCAAGTAATACACAACCTTATTTGCTTCGGTGCTATTTATAGGTCACCCTGTTCGCAGTTCATTGTGCCGGGTGCTTCTATTATCTTATTGCTTCACGTTATCATAACCCGCAAAAGACATGGTTTGGAGGGGACGACTTCCTTAAACAAAGCCTATGGATCCAATATGTTACATCAATGTATTGGTCCATCACTACTCTCACAACTGTTGGCTATGGGGATTTGCACCCTGTAAATACAAGAGAGATGACCTTTGACATATTCTACATGCTCTTCAACCTTGGACTGACATCATATCTGATAGGAAATATGACCAACTTGGTCGTTCATGGCACCAGTAGAACTAGAAAATTTGTGAGTATAATCTTATGATTCTGTCTTTTTCCAATTGAATGAAGTCATTATTAATCTTTTTTAAAAATGTTTGTTGCCTTTGTGAATGGTCACCCATTTATTAATTCAATTCTGTAATATATGGTCTGTCAACAGAGGGATACCATTCAAGCAGCCTCAAGTTTTGCACAGAGGAACCAATTGCCTGTTCGACTGCAAGATCAGATGCTTGCACACTTATGTTTGAAGTTCAGAACAGACTCAGAGGGTCTGCAGCAGCAAGAGTCTCTAGATTCCCTTCCGAAAGCCATCCGTTCAAGCATCTCACATTTTCTTTTCTACACTCTCGTAGATAAGGTGTATTTGTTTCAAGGGGTGTCCAATGACTTGCTCTTCCAGCTGGTATTACACTACTAAGAACTTACAGCTACCAGTTTTTTCTACTAATATACGTATCATTATGTTGGGTTTTTGACTCTTTAAAATTGAAGGTCTCAGAGATGAAAGCTGAGTATTTTCCACCCAAAGAAGATGTCATCTTGCAAAATGAAGCACCCACAGACTTCTACATACTTGTTACTGGAGCTGTGGTAATTATTTGACTTCCTCATTTTTCTGATATCAACATCTGATGTTAGAATTGAACGGAAAAAAAAAAGGGGGAAAATTCTACTATTGTGATCATGAACTTGAAATAATATGGATGTTGTTTATCTCTTAATTGAAAACTGGGAATTTTCTTCTAGTCTGTTTGCAATTGATTGCCACTTATATTCTTGTTACTTGACAGGAGCTGCTGGTTCTCAAAAACGGACTCGAACAGGCAAGTCTAATGATCAAACTCCATGGATTCCTATTTAAATAATTTTATTACTAGGTTCCATGATTGAAGCATTTTTCCTGGACAAAGAAAATGTTGAGTGAATTTTATGATTGATGATTACAGGTAGTTGGAGAGGCAAAAACTGGTGATGTTTGTGGTGAGATTGGGGTTCTCTGTTATAGGCCTCAGCTCTTTACCGTGCGGACCAAACGATTGAGCCAACTATTGCGACTGAACCGGACTACATTCTTGAATATTATTCAGGCCAATGTTGGAGATGGAACAGTAATCATGAATAATCTTCTTCAGGTCTGTAAACCTGATATACCCAATTAACTTTTAACGAAGTGGGTAAAAATAAAACCTATTTGGAGGAAGGAATTTTATAACTTTGGGTAAGATTTATTAAAATTTTGTACTTTTCCTTATATATATACATATATTAATTTATTTATATAGTATATAATATATATTCAGCTTTTACACTTAAATATCTCATAGCTAAAAAACTTTTCCAGCTTACATAATCTTTAACTAAATTTAGTACATTTAAGGATTTATATTATCATAGCAAAGCAGACTTCGGGGTGTGGTACTGGTAACACATATCGTGCATTCTTTGTATGGGTGACAAACTTGTTATGCACTTAATTGAATTTTTCTTTCTTTGCTTGGGGCAGCATTTGAAAGATCTGAAGGATCCAATTATGGAGGGAGTTCTGATGGAGACAGAGAGAATGCTAGCTCGTGGTAGAATGGACCTACCTCTCAGTCTATGCTTTGCAGCACTTAGAGGGGATGACTTGTTGTTGCATCAACTGTTGAGGCGTGGTCTGGATCCAAATGAATCAGACAACAATGGGAGGACAGCTCTGGTATGCATTTGTTAAATGTAAACATTTGTTTATACTTCAATTTCTGAAATTTCATTTTTTCATATTTTCCCAAAATTTCTGTGAAAACAGCACATAGCAGCATCCAAGGGAAATGAGAACTGTGTTCTTCTTCTACTGGATTATGGAGCAGGCCCTAATAGCTTAGGTATTTCCCAGACTTGTGTGCATCTCTACACTGCTCAATTATTGCAAGTCTACTGCATACCCTTAGCATTTTCCCCGAGTCCACACACTTGATTCTTCATATTTTAATTCATTCTCTCAACTGTAGGTGGTTCATATTTTAATAACTTTCTGTTGAATTCTTGCACCATTATCCACTGACAGTTTTATTTTTCAGTTTTAGTAACTGTTGCTCTTCCCTATTTTGGCTAGTCCTTAGATAATAAATTTAATTTGTTGTCTTTATCGTAAAGTAGTCTTGCATTGACCTTGCTATACTCTTAACCGTTAGAACTGTCATGTACCATTTCTATAGATCATCACTGGTGGTCTGTATATGCGAGTCATATGGTAGGGGATCCAGTCTTCACATCACAAAATTTTTATTTTTTTAATAAAAACAAAAGCGGTTTTAACAATGCAGAAAGTGACTCTTATTTCATTTTCAATTTTTTCAGTAAGTTGTCGGTTCTCTATAAGTTATAGCTTTGTACAAAGCCATTACAAGTCAAAACAACAGAATCTGCCCTTTCTGAGTATGGATCAATAATTGTTAATGTCTGTTGATTTCTTATATAAGATTCATTCAGACCAAATTTTATATTTTAGCTTATTGGTAAACTATCTGTACTGAGATAATGTGTCTCCCCCCTCATTAGATTGTGTCGCTATTTAATAATTAGATAATCTTATCTTATTTACTTGGGCGTACATTTTGGTCAATCTGCAGTTGATCAGTTTGGTTATTCTGCCTCCTTATACCACCTCTGGCACCCGTCTCCATCTTACGGTCATGGACATTCATTTAAGCTTTCTTCTTTATATTTGTTAACCTTTTCCTCATTTCGATGGAAGACACCATTTTAAGTCATATTTAATATAATACTGACCTTTTCTGCTGAATTGTATAGTGCTAGACTTTTTACATTCTTTTTTTAGAGTTTAAGTTGCCCTTCTCTTCAGAACAACTATGTTTTTTGAAATGTAGCATTATAATATAATTTCTTTTTGGATTGAAATACTTGACAAGAATAAATTATTCTCTATATTGCCGCTGTTTCATTAAATATATTTTAAGAGTCGAATTATGTTTACAGATTCAGAAGGAAATGTACCTCTATGGGAGGCCATATTGGCCAATCATGAACCAGTGATTAAACTGCTGATGGATAATGGTGCTAAAATTTCTTCTGGCGACGTGGCTCAATTTGCACGCACTGCTGCTGAGCAGAACAACTTGGGATTGCTCAAGGAAATTGTTCGTTATGGAGGGGATGTCACACGTCCCCAGAACAATGGATCCACAGCTCTCCATGTAGCAGTTTGTGAGGGCAACATTGAGATGGTTAAATTCCTTTTGGAAGAAGGAGCTGATATTGACAAACCAGACAATGATGGTTGGACCCCAAGAGCTCTAGCTGATCAGCAAGGACATGAAGATATAAAAGTTATTTTCGAATCCATTAAAGAGGCCAAGACTCAATCTGTTGTTGCAATCCCTGATGAGCAACGTGGACCTCGCTACCTTGGGAGATTTAAAAGTGAGCCAACAATCCGTGCTCCTTCCCGGGAAGGTGCATTCCCAGTGGAAGACGGGTCATGGGGACAACACCGCCAAAGGCGTAGGTCTAATACCTTCAACAATTCACTATTTGGGATCATGTCATCTGCCCGTGGCAGGGAAAATGACTTACTTTTATCTGTAAATGAAACTAACTGTGCCCAGACTAACAGAGATTACCCAGCCAGAGTGACCGTTAGTTGCCCAGAAAAGGGTGATGTTAAAGGAAAGGTTGTGATACTTCCTCAGACCTTCCATGAGGTACTTGAGATTGGTGTCAAAAAATTCGGGTTCCTGCCGTCCAAAGTCCTAAGCAAAGATGGAGCTGAATTTGATGCTATAGAGCTGATTAGAGATGGTGATCATCTCATTTTTGTTAGTGATGGTGGAGTGGAAGAACCCAATCACCAAACACTTGGGGATTTGAGGTAGAAATGGTGCCTAGGTGTCATCTTTATCCATCATCTTTTTCTTCTGCTAAGTTTCCTCATGTTGAAACACAAAATGAGGTTCTTCTGGGTTCGATCTGCTACAAAAAACCTGTAACAGGTCGCCTATTCTTTTGAAAAATTGGTTGCTCAGATTGTTCATCCGTGAAGTGGCGCGATGGTTGGTGGAAGATGAATACCATACAAATGAGCATTTGAGATGTGGCCTCGGAAAGATAATGTGCCTATAATAGCGATCAACACTAACAAAGTTTATTGTCTTAATACTAATTTCCCTAATTTGATCCAAGTACCTCTTGGTTTATCTTCACTTTTCTCTTATTGACTTGAAGGCCATACTACAGTTTTGAAGCGTTTTTTACTGGTAACTGACCTGTGTAGAAGTTACAAACCACTCTAGTCGCTACAAGATATAATCTAGATTTAGAGTTTCTTGTTAAAAAAAAAAAAAAAACAAACAAACCTGCGAATTTGGCCAATTACCAACAGGCCTGTGGCCCATCTGTACAAGGCTCCCACTTCCCAAAGGGAAGTCAGGGGTTCTAACCTCAGTGGAGGCCGTGTGTATGAGTCCCAATTAAAAAAGAAAAAAAAAAAAACATTGGCTAATTCTCCAAGATTATTTCATTTTGACTTGATTAGCGAGCTTCGAAGACTATTGTAATGTAACACACACTTGCGTGTCGCAACAAACAAAAATAATTTTGTGATGGTGACATGTAGTATGTTAAAGGGGGACTTGTTCACATTGCATGTAGATAGGAAAATGAATTAGATGTAGGCCGAACCATAAAACACTGATTTATCGGACCGGTTTTTATTTTAAACAAATTAATGGGACTGGGTAGAAGTTTTCATATGTTTTGGGCTTGGGTTAAAATCTAAAACCTCAGGCCCAGGGTGGGGTTGGCTTTCGGTTTTATGATTTATCCCATTAATATCAAAATATTTGTAGGAATTATATGATTTATCATTTGTTTTAACCTATTGATGACGTGGAGTGAAATAAGAAAAAGACCTGTTGTAGAATTACACTAGTTTGGTTCTCAATGAGGAGCAACTTATTAGGCAGAAATCTAGAGTAAGGTGGCTCAAAGATGGTGACAGTAACACTGCCTTCTTCTTCAAGACTTTCAATTCCAAGAACAACAGAAGGAAGATCACAAGCCTCACTTCATCCACATGGGAAACTTCGGAGAATGAGAGACTTATCAAGGAAGAAGTTGTCTCCCACTTTCACAATCTTTTGGGCTGCTCTCCCCCATCCTATCCAGGGATATCATCATTATAGCCTTTCATCAACAAAACCATCCCTCAACACTGTTTACCATCATTGGTTGCTAGTCCCACTGATGCAGAAATCCAATCTATTTTCCTCTTACTCCATAAGGAAAAATCCCCAGGTCCGGATGGTTTTAATGCACATTTCTACCACATGGCTTGACCTATTGTGGGTAATGATATTATTCAGGCCATTAGAGCCTTTTTCCATAATGACAAACTTCTCAGTGAGATAAACAACTCTTATATTGCACTTGTCCCCAAGATACCTAATCCTACAACCCTTCATAACTTTAAGCCCATATCATGCTGTAATACCATTTATAAATGCATTGCTAAACTTCTTGCAAACAAACTCAAACAGGCTCTACCTACCATTATTGACCCATGTTAAAATGCCTTTGTTGTACAAGGAAGGCATATTGGGGATAGTGTTATGCTTACTCATGAGTTATTTCAGGGGTACCATAGGTAGCTTGTTCTCCCTAGGCGTGCTATTAAAGTGGACCTAATGAAGGCTTTTGACACAGTAGGGTGGCCTTTCCTACTGGACTCACTACTCCTACTTGGATTTCTAGCCACTTTCATTGATTGGATCAAGGCGTGCATTACCACGCCATCCTTCATAATCTCCTTAAATGGGGAATCTTAGGGTTATTTCCAAGGTGTAAAGGGGCTCAGGCAAGGTAACCCAATCTCACCCCTACTATTTGTTATTGTTATGGAGGTTCTCTCTTCCATTATCAGTCCATAGCTAGCTGACAACCATTCTTTTAAGCATCACTCAAGATGCAGGCTAACCTCATTAATGATATCAAAGATCTTCTTGGTTTTGAAAGGGGCAATTTACCTATCAAATATCTTGGCGTTCTGCTCATATCCACAAGTCTTAAGCTTTCTGACTGTAGAGGGTTAATAAAGAAGATAACAAGACGAGTTAACCATTAGTCATCTCGATTACTCTCCTACGCTGGGCAACTGCAGTTAATCCAATCAATCCTATACAGCATGATAATCTATTGGTCTAGCTTATTCATCTTCCCTAAGGCGGCTCTCTATGAGGTGAATAAAATTTTGAAGAATTTCCTGTGGGCAGGTACTGAGTACAAGTCCACTAGAGCCAAAGTGGCATGGAATGCAGTGTGCATACCTAAGGAGTTTGAAGGTCTTGGCTTCAAAAATCTTAGTGCAATGAATGTTGTTGGAGGACTCAAGCACCTATGAAGTCTCATATCTAATCGCAGAGAAAGCCTATGAACAAAATGGGTTAAGGTTCAGCTTATTCGTAGCCGATGCTTCTGGACTATGAATATCCTACAAGCTTGCTCAAGTAATTAGAGGAAGCTCCTACAGCTTAGGGGGTAGTTAGGTCCATGGTGAGGATGAAAGTGGGTAATGGAATGCATACTTACTTCTGGGAGGACAATTGGCTTCAGGGAGGCCCTCTAGCTCTGAGAGCTTCATCACCTACCATCAGAGAATCGTCAATTGCCCCTTCATAGAAACTTATAACTCTAGTGATCAATGAAGAATGGAATTTTCCTGCTGACATTTTGGAACTGTTCCTTGAATTATCGATGCATGCACTCCATCGCAGGAATCTGACTCTGCCATTTAGGTTTCCTCACCCACAGGTTCATTCTCCAACAGCCACATAGTAGAGTGGCTTTCTCCCAATTTCTTTCTGCGGCAATGGGCTCACCTGGTATGGAACTCATATTCAATCCCAAGATGCAAATTTACCTTATGGCTGGCAGTGCAGAATTGGCTCCCTACAATCGATAGGAACTTCGGACCATCCATTCTGGGGTCAACCTTGTGCCATCTATGATGCCAAAATGTCGACGAATCACATGCGCATCTGTTCTTTGAATGCTCCTTTGTTAGGCCAATCTGGAGACACCTGCAGAATAAGTGTGGAATTTGCCATAAGAGTGCCTCTTGGACAGAACTAGTGGAATAGGTTTCACGTCACTGGAGGGATCAATCTCTAAGAAATTCGGCCAATAAACTTGTACTCTCTACCGCAATTAACCGTATTTAGAAGGAACGGAATAATCAGGCCTTCAAAGCGCTACGTTCTTCTCAATCCACTATTTTGAAGCAAATCACGGATATGGTTAAGTAGAGGCTTATTTCTATGCGTGCAAAGGATTCCTCGTCGGCTAGGAGATTGATTTCTAAATAGGACCTTCGGAGGCTTTCATTCGTCCTCCGGCAGAGCCGCTGGACCAATCTAACAGAGGCACTTTGCTTGCCTCTCCTTGTATTGTCTCCGGAGTGATCGGTGTTAACTTAGACATCCTTAGTCTAGTGCTTCTAGACTACCATTGTTTTTGTTTACATGTTTTGGCTTGGTTTTGTCTTGGTTGTTTGGTAGATGTTGATTGGGCTTTTGGCCTTGTTTCACATTTACCCCTTTGTACATTTTCTTTCATTCAATATAATTTACCTTCCGAAAAGAAAAAAAAAAAAAAAAAGAAATAAGTTGAAAGGTGTTATTTAATATAATGTTCATCGCTGTTATAGAGGAAAAAAAATTGTAAAATATAAAAAATCCAATTTTGAGAAAACTATTATTTTTCTTCCTCAAATAAGGAGATTTGAACTTTTAACGACTTAAGTGCAAAAAAGTTCACGTGTGGTATAAAACTCCCTTATACTATTAATTTGGTACAATTACCCCCCTTTTCGCATAAAAAGACATTAATACCCTCTTATCAATAAAATGAAATAATATTTAAAAAACCAGGTAATGTAAAATTACCATTTTAAACAATTCTTTCTGATTCACCGTGTTCAGAGCAGAGCCTAAAGCCACAACCACAAAGCTTACATGGCTTTGACGACCATAGCCATGGATTGTTAAGCCATGATCACAAATGGGTTTCATAAAAATCAAATAAAACTCCATTTCTAAACCCACTCTTTTCTATTGTCTGTCACATCTCCTCCACCTCTCCCGTTGTCTCAGTGGAGGTGCTCCGATCATCATTCCCGCATCGAATAACTACTCTAACCACTCAACCCACAGCGGACATCCACTATCCTCATCTCGACGACAATCATTCTCGCCACTGAAGAAAGCATTGGGCACCAAGATAGAAACCCTAGCCCCTGGTCGATGCATCACCATCATGTCAGATAAAAATTCCTTCAAGATCTTTGTTAACGGCGTCACCATCTTTATCTTCTGGCAAAATAGCATCGTAGTTGTTTGCGCGTAGACCTAACGCGTATACACGCGCTGCACGTGCCTATCACTCTAATCTCCGGTGGCTAATACCCTTCACCTTCGGTAACCATATTAACCTGTTGCACTCCCTTCGCCATCTTTTTCATTGTCGGCAACCATATGCCTGAACTGATTGCTAAGCCATGGTTGTCGAAGCTCTATAATCTCGTTGGCTTCGTTTACGAGCAATCAACAAATCGATTGCCAGCACAATCATCGTCAGAGGCGAGACTTAAGCTGTGATTATACACCGCCGGTGCAATCGGGCACCAAAAATCCGAAGTCGTAGCCAACCGACTCTTTGGTCAACACCCACCTCACACCATCTTCGTACTCCTCTACCACAGTGAATCAAAACTTATCATCGTCTCTACAATTGCATCGCACTATCAACTGTATGTACGAATCTCTCTCGTTTGGTTCAAATACTTTTGTTTATGTTGGGAGATATATGTATATATATAACCTTTGGGGACAATCAAAGCACTGGTCTCTATCTTTGTTTCATGGACGACTGCCGAAAATAAAACAATAACTTGTTCTTCATGATTTTTTGTTGGGGATTTTTATAAGTTCGTGTTTAGTGATTTTAGAAAGAGATTAGAAAGGAACAAGGGGAATTATAGATTTCAGACCACAATCTTTGCAGTTTCTTACATGTTATTCTTTCAATCAACTCCCCATAGAAGCATAAGTTGTAAGAGGTCTAGCACCCTCAAAAACATTTAATTATTATTATTGCTTTCTCAAGCCCTTTCCCCATATAGCATCTTTGCTATCTTTATCTCTCTCCCTCTCTATTTCAGTCTCGTTCTATTTCTCTCTCTATCTTTCTCTTTCTATTTCTTCTCCCTATCACTTTCTATATCTATATTTTCTTTCATTTCTATTATCAAATTGTTACTATATTTGTTCACTGATAAAGTCATTTTAATTAAGGCAATCCTGAACTCACAGAGGAGTATATTTGTTCTCTTTCTCTTCGCATCGCCTGAAAGTCAAAATTCTCAAAGAGACTATTGTCGACTAAACACACTTGAACCACATTGTTGGTTCTGGCTCGCCCGCAACAGATCAATTTAGAATCGGCTTTAGCCAACCTATTTTTAACGTTAACAGGGAGGTTGAGGATGGTGGTTATGGCTGTGATGCATCACTGTTTCAAATACTTTTGTTTATGTTGGGAGATATATGTACATATATAATAGATCGGCACCGAACTTTGGCTATGGGGTTGAATTGAATGGCCATAATAAACATAGTGGTGGTGGTGGTGGTGGGGTTAAAGATGGTGGTTATGGCTGTGATGCACCACCAGTTGTGGTGAGGGGCGTAGGAGAGCAGTCTATTAGAAAAAGGTATAATAGGAAGAGAAAATGGCAAATTAGGGTTTTTAAATTTACTTTATGTCAATTTTGATCAAAGAGTGGTAAGAGGGGCTTATTTGTACATTTTTTTGAATTTTATGAACGAAAATGCACATTTTTAAAAAAGAGGAATTATTTATGTACAAAACCTATATTACAAGGGTTTTCTGCACTTGACAAAACTTTTAACCTTTCACATTGCAGAGGAAATAATATTGACAATAATTTATAAATTGTTATTGTTCTGAAATTATAAAATTTCAAATATTGAACTGTCATTTTTAAGTGACTTTCTTGACTAAAGTATATTATTAGATTTTTAACAATAAATTTTGTTTGCATTTGTGATATATGTTAATATTATATTAATGTTGTAATGTATCAACATTGCTTCTGAAATGGCTGTGCCCTCTTTGTAATTTTCTTCTCCTTTTTAACATATATTGATTTACCCAAAAAATAAAAAAAGGAGTATCAATCAATATTGTATCGACATACTGACACATATAATTGTACTGGAGTGACCCAAGGAAAGTGGCAAATGACTCAATAGAGATATGTGACTTGAAGCAAGGCGTGTTAATTACGTGAATGCTTGTCTTGTATAAAAGATCATTATTGTACCTTCAAGTTGATTACATTCCACATGCAGCCAAGGAATTTCAAAGCTTTCACATACACGACACACCCGTTACAAATTACACAGAAGGTACCATATAGCTCTCCCTAAAGAAAAATGATAACTAGTTCAAGAGAGTCCCGGACATTGAGCACTCGAAAAGTAATCATGATAAATTTAATGTATCCCATCATCAAATATAAATTTAGTACATATTTAGAAAGTTCCACTTATTTATTTATTTATATGATTGGGAATGATATTTTCTCTTATTTACATAAATACAGTGGAATGGATTCGGTTATCAACTACTCCTTCTATCTTTAAAAAAAAAAAAAAAATCTTTTCTTAGAACAGGGTGTATAAAGTTATTTCTTATTTACATAAATGTAGTGTTTTCAACTACTCCTACTATCTTAAAAAATAATAATAATAATAATAATTTCTTCTCCTAGAACAAAGGGAATATAATGACATCGTGACGGATCAGGCATGAACTTACCTATTTAGTAAGGCAATTGCTCCAACTGATTTTTTTTTTTTTTTTTTAATGGTATTTTATACTTATTATTTCTTTTTATTATTATTATTTATGTATTAAATACTTAAAAAATTTTAAAATTGTCCTACTAAAATTATGAAACAAATTACACTATTGCCCCTACAACACAGGCCTCCCCTTTACATAATTTTCGGAGTCCATTCTGATTATGATGATCCCACGTATAAATGCAGAACATGCCGAGAAGCTAACAAATTCCAACCAAGTAATGAAAGGACATTAATTGGAGAGACATTTCCAACAGACAGGTAGCTGTTGAAATAGTTTAATGCTTGATGACATCACCATAAATTCCACTTAAAACTAGTGAAAAGAATCTGCCAATAAAAAACCAGGGTGGGGTATATATTGTCATGTCAAGACTCGATCGTTGAAGTGTAGAATCTTCTAAGGTGAAGAAACAAGTGAGAAATTTCCTCAATTTTACATAATTTCATTTCAATAGTACACACTTACATAATATATGCAGAAAAGAATTTTCCAGCAACCAATCAATGGGCAAAATCCTTTGCAATTTTATTCATAGGATTCTAGAAACAAATATATATATATATATATATATATATAGTTACATATATGCATATAACATGTTGTCATGATTTTTTTCCTTATTTCGGGGAATCATCATACTTTGATCAAGATAAATCAAACTTCTCTTCCACAACACCAACTTCTCAGTCATACCCTGCATGGGCCACAGTAGATACAATCTTAATTTTAGCACAAAGAAAATATTCAAACCAGAAACATATTTGAATACAATAAATAAGTTTGCTTTTTTGGTTTCATTCAATCTTACTTGGTGGTGAAAAAATATAAGTATATATATACAAAAGAAGTATAAATTTTGGGCCATTCCAGTTTTTAATCAAGTGACAGTAAAAACCTTCAACACAGTGCAGGTAAAAGCTAAGAACACTTTTTCAATGCATGACATATATATATATTGCAAATTTACATAACTTACATAGAAAAAAATAAAAAAGAGAGTGATGTAGAGAGAGATTGAGAGAGTTACTGTTGAAATTCAATGTTGATGAAGTGAGCTGAAGAATTTGCAATGGTCCCAAAAGCGGTCTGAGATAGAACCATGGTGGTGGTACTGGTAGAGGAGGGCTGAGTAGGAGCATAATCAACAATCTTGATCTGAATGGTCTGGTCTGCAAAACATGTTCTTGGTTGGGTTGCACTTATGCACCTCACCAAGTATTGTCTCCCACATGATGCTCCATTGTCCCATATTCCTTCTCCCGCTGCCCCAAACAAATTGCTCGACGGAAACTGCGACGGATCATTTCCATAACAAGCCGTCGCTACATATACCACACAAATTAATTATTATTATTATATATATATATGATAATTAAGAAGGACACATGCATATATATAGCATATAACATATATGTATAGATTATGAAACAATTTTTGAAGGGTACTTACGTAAATATGGTGGACTGTACTGGGCGGTGGTGCCAACATCCCCATGACAGCTGCTATTGAAAAGCACGGTGACGATGAAGATAAAGAGTGGTAGCCATTGAAGGACTACTTGATGAGTCCCAGACATTTTGGAATATTAATTGTGAAAGAGAGGTTGAGAAGGGACCTAACTGAAAAGAAAAAGAAAACAAAAAAATACAAGGCTGAGAAGAGACTATGTCATGATAATATTCCATATATTTCAACCTCTGAGTCTTTCTTTTTCATTCACAATTTTTTTTTTCAAGATAATTTGTATTCAAGTGAAGAAGACTGCGAGAGACTTAGTTATAATCAAATGAAATTTTTACATATAATCTCATATTTATACTATTAGATAGTCAAAATCTCATACTTTATTTCACAAAAATAAACTTGAGTCAAAGGACATGAAAATTTACTGTTTGTTTTAATTTGTTATACCAAATTACATTTTTGCCCCCCTTTCCCTCTCCTCTCGTTCTCTTTCTACTCTCATCAGGACCAAAGAAACCCAACAATTCACGGAGCTCTCCTATGAAGGCAAAAACTTGATACTAGGCTGTTGCCAATCATTCTCTTCTTCATTACCTCGTATCAGGTCTTGAATTCTTACCTCAAATGAGAAAAACATGAGAAAATATATATTTTTCTTTTCTCCCAATAAGATCTTGGATATTGTTGTGTCCTTACCCAAATTAGAAAAAACATGAGAAAATTATTTTTCTTTACACAAAAAATCTGCCCATAGTCTTAAGTCAGTAGCATATCAGACAAACAATTTAATCGTCCACCACGCAACCTCCGTCACCTAGTGTAAACCCAATTGAGTCTCTGTGATGATGATGAGGGCGAGTGAGGAGAGAGTGACTAGGGTATATTTTGTGAGAGGCCAGCATGGTAATAAATTAGAGCGAAAAAGTGAAAGTGAAAGTTGATGTCCACATCAACTTCAGTTTTTGAAAAACAATGAAACTTTAATTACAAAATATTATAGGCCCATAAATACATTTATGTGTAAAAATCTCTAATTATAACAGGCCCACTTAGAGTAAGTCTTGTTACAAAAAGATTGTAGGTCCAGGTCCATAAACAACGGCCCATGGGAAAACCGTTTCAAGACAAAAGACAGACCAACGGGTATTTTCAAAAGCAAAGGTTTTCTTGTGCATTTATAAGAATGGGTATGCGACACTAATTAACCGTTTAAATTTTTGGGTTAAAAAATTAAGCATTTTATCTGTTACAAAAATATTATCCCCCTCCATTTCAAAATAGTTAAACATCTTTTCATTTTGAGATATTCCAAAAAACATGTCCTATTCTAAAATTGAATTTACTATTTTTTATAACATTCCCAAACTATTATTTTAACTAAATAACTGTATTAATTACGGAGCATTATTTTGTCCTTTAATAATGGCATATTTGAAACTTCACTCTTATAAATATAATAAAAAAACTATTAAAACTCCACTACTATAAAAAAAATTAAATTCTCCATACAAGATATGTATATTGGGATAGAGGGAGTATAATCAAACTCAGTTCTTAATCGGCAGTCTCACCCATCAACAATTACTTAACGAGTGCCTAGTGACTCGATTTCACCCATTTTTACTTCCAATGGAGGAGCTAACCGCACATTTATTTTCAATTCACTTAATTAAAACTTGCTTATAATTAAAAACAATCACCAGTTACTCGAGAAAAAGTATCACGGACTATTACCAAGATAAAAATGTGATGTGAAACTTCTGCTTGCTATAGGAACAACATTATTGAGTCAATTTAACTTGCATAAATGTACTTGAAATATAATTAGACAACTTATCGAAAATAATAATAGTAATAATTAGACAGAAGGTTCGGCTAGCCCTTCAAAATTTTATTAATTCTGGTGCAATCTACTATATATATATATATATATATATATATATATATATTCCTTCATAATCAGATTGCTTTTTCCAACTTTCGTGGAGCACACACTACAGTTATCATTAAAAAAAAATCTTGTACTAACAGAGTGTATGTGGAAATTAGTTGTCACATTAATACAGTCAATAATAAGGTCAGGCGTAAATACCGGCATAATTTGCGTAAAGCAGTCAATTATGGTTGATCCTACAAGAAATGGAGAACTGGACTGGTAAACAACTTGTCCTTCAGATTGGAATTTGGGATGATAAGAGAAGGGGTCCAGACTCCCTTTATCAAAAATCTAAATTAAGACCTTTGGAAAAAAAAAAACTAAATTAAGTACGGAATTTTAATTAGGATAATTTATGGTTTGGACCACCGTGATGTATTGTATCAGTCATTTGCCATTACCCATATATGAAATTGCTAGGTCGGGGCTGATAGGACCACTCTGTCTACTCAGTCCATGCCATTGCCCACCCCTAGCGTGTGTGTGTGTGTGTGTGTTTATATATATATATATATATATATATATATCTTGTGCAAGCAACAAAATTCACACTACAAGTCTAGCTTCCCCCAAACGGTCGTAAAAGATGAAGAATGAATACAATCATTAAATCGAGGAGGAGGATGAAGAGGTGGTGGTGGTGGTTGTTGTAAATAAAATAGTAAGTTTAATATGAGGGCACACTTAAGGGAGAGCGGAGCTTTTCCTATATATAATGAAAAAAAAAAAAAAAAAAATTATATTTTTATCTATATTTATACTATTATATTATAAGTCCCTTCAATTATTTTTTCTCAAGTAACGCGCAACTCAAGTTCAACTTTATATATATATATATAAGAAAATAGTTTGAACTATAAATGAAGGGATTAGCATATTAAAAATATAAACATATTAATACATACCATCACGTGCAATGCACGTGATTAAAAAACTAAATAATCTAGATAAATTATTTAAACTTGATACAATTATAGATATGAATTTATTTTGCAATCAATGAAGGCAAAAATTTGGTCTCATATAAAAAATTTGTAAAATTGTGCAGTTAGGAAATACGTAGACACTTGCGTTTTATAAAATTAATTACGTGGATATATATTACTTTTACTTTTTATAATGTGATTAATTTTAGTAATTATTAGTAAAATTATGTGGATAAATGTTACTTTTATATTCTGTATGAAATATTTAGTAGGGAATGTGTAGAATTATAATTACGTGATTAAAATAATTGTTATTATAATTATAACAAGGGAGATTGATGGTTCAATTCAAAACTTTGCATATATAGATTCACCCACCCACACATTTAATCTTAATAAATATGGATTATATTGTTCTTACTTTTTGCAGTGTGATTAATTTTGTGGTTTTAGAATTCTAAATTGAGTATGAATTAAATATTATAATTATAACAAGGGAGGTTGAGGGTTAATTCAAGACCCTACATATATATAACCCCACATACACACACGTTTAATCGCAAGAAATATGAATTTATTATCATTGTTTGGAGAAAAAAATAATTCCAATTCAGATTACACAAAAAAAGAAAAAAAGAAAAAGAAAAGAAAAACACATATATTAAACGCAAAACACATCTATATTGTTATTATACATGTGTGTGTGTATATATATATAAAACTTGTGATGGAGAAACATGATTACTTTTTTCGGTAAGATTCAACATTCCGGCTATTTTACCAACTCTCTTACATAACTTTACCGTCTTTAGAATTCAGACACATACTTAGGTGCGGCTGGAGTGTTAGGCGAGTTAGGTGGTCGCCTAAGACCCTAGCCAATAAGAAGGCTTCATAAATTTTCATTTTTTTTATATATATATTATAACTTTTTTAGAATAATTATGTTAATTATTAAATATCAATAAATAGAGGAATTTGACAGTAACCTAAAAGATTTATATTGTTCATCACTTTTTTCTTTCTTTTTTAGGGCTCCCAAATTTTTTTTAAACCTCAATTAATAGAGAAATTTAATATTAGGCTCAAAATATTTATATATTTTTATTTTTATTTTTATTTATTTTTTTATTTTTTTATCTCTCTCTCATCCTTATTACATAAACGTATACACACATATACATATATATTAATCCTCATTATCATTACATCAATCATAAATATTTTTGTAAGAAACCTATTAACTTTTCTTTTTCTTTTTCTTTTTTCTTTTTTTTCTTTTTTATTTATATTGTTGAATATGTCTTATAGAAAGTATAAAGTCAATTAACTAAAGATAGAACTAGAGATTAAAAAAAATTTAGTATTACGCTTTGAAATCACAAAACAAATAATGAGCATATTAGTAGGATGAATATATGAGTAGACTCAATTAAAATACCATTTTACTTTTTTCGCCTAAAGCCTCAAATTATATTAAGCCGTACCTGAACACATTTCCTCAATGTAAAACTCTCTCATATCTTCTCTTCTGTGCGAAAAAACTTAAGAGCCATCGTTATAAGTCTCTGTTATTCTTTTTTCAACCAACGCAACTCAGGTTCAGAGATTCAACTTTATATTGATATGATAACACACACACACGCACACATATATTGATACTATAAATGTTGGGTTTAATATCTAAAAAATATAAACATATTAATACATACTAGCACGTGCTATGCACGTGATTAAAAAACTAAATAATCTAGATATATATATTTTTATAAATCTGTATTTTAAATTATTTAACTTAGTATAGATATAAATATAAATTTATTTTAGAATAAATGAAAGCAAGAATTTTGTCTCATATTCGGTTTTTGTAAAATTGTGTGGTTAGAAAATACGTAGACACTTGAGTTTTATAAAATTAATTAGGTGGATATATGTTACTTTTACTTTTTATAGTGTAATTAGTTTTAATAATAATTATTATAATTGTGTGGATAAATATTACTCTTACATTTTTGTAGAAATTTTTTATAAATATTACTTGAGGTTCCATGTATATAATTTATGCTATAAAACTTAAGTGTTTAAGTATTCCATAACCGCACAATCTTACAAATAACTAATATGAGACCAAATTATTGCATCCATTTATTCTAATATATATATATATATATATATATATATATCAAGTTTAGATAATTTAAAATATTCATTTATAAATAATTTATCTAAAGTTGCTATTCTTGTTAGTATCACCATCACAACAAATTCATCGGGGACTATTCTTTGCTAGTAATAATAAATGTCCATTCTTGAAGTAAATTTTTTTTTTAAAATTTTGATTTTATAAGCGCATGTTTGACCAATTGCCAGTAAATTATTTTTTTAAAAAATATGTTGTTGAGTTGTGACCTAAATTTTGTTGGCTTAGAACTCTAATAATAATAAATAAATAAATAAATTGACTTGTTTTTGTCTTACTAATTTTGAAGCCGAATCTAGTCCCTATTGTAACATGATAGACTGATATACTAAAAATGATAGAATATAAAACGTTCACTATACTGATGTAAAACATTTAATGCGTGATATAAATTTCTACTTTAAAAACATACCATTTTAAAAAAGAATGATTACTATTTTTTTTTAAAAAAAATTTAAAAATTTATTTTGAATATGGCTATTTGTGATGAAGTGGTCATTCTTGTCGGTGTTACATCATGCAGTAAACATTTTACATTCTATAATATTTTAGTGAGGAGGTGGTAGTATAAGAGAGAGAGCGAGGGACATGATAGAAAGAAAGAAATAAAAAAAGAAAGATCGAGTGATAAGTCTTAAAATTGCGGGAGGAGTATTTTGGATCTGTGTATTTGTTAACAAATATGAAATTATTTTTGTATAAGTTATTTTTTCACCAAATACCACCAATATTTAAGTGCTTACATTATTGTAATTTCAGCTTCTTTAAATGGTGTTAAATTAAATTAACCTGACAAAATTTGCATAATTTATTAAGTGTTATTATTAAAATAAAATGGTATATAGTTGAGAATATCCTAATTCATAGAGGAAAGTACACCCCACTCCCCACTAACAAAATCCATTTACAGAAAAAAAGCCAAAAAAGTGGCGACAAGTCAAGTGACACGCCTATATAAGACCATGACCATACCAAACCGCCTCTTTTGCGCCTAGTACTTGCACTTTGTCAGTAAGCAAAATTGTTAGATTTCATTTGCATTTCTGTATCAGTTTCTCGGAAACCTCTGCAAAATATTTTCTCGGAAAGGGCTAGGAGGTGTGGATTCTTTACGATTCCCACCTGTTTTGTATACCGCCATATACATATATACATCGACACACATGCACATTTGTAATCTAATACTCTTTTATGTCAATATTCGTCTTTTGATTAGGCTAAAGGTTTTTTTTTTTTAGGGTTAGGGTTTTTAGAAACCTTTTGAACATTAGAACATCTAATAGTTGATGATTACAGAAAACGGTTTCATTTAATTCTGCAAGCAACTTGAAATTTTGAGTGCAAGGAAAATCTGTGGTACAATTTAGTCGATAGAAAATTTGAGTGCAAGGAAAATCTGTGGTACAATTTAGTCGATAGAATTTTAGTTTTTGCTACTTGTAAGAAATGGACAAGAAGAGGGTGGCTGTTCCGCTTGTATGCCACGGCCATTCACGGCCGGTTGTGGATTTGTTCTACAGTCCAATTACTCCAGATGGGTTCTTCCTCATCAGTGCTAGCAAGGGTATTCATTTTATCATTCTTGTTGAATGTGTACACTTGCCTATATAATGTGAATTCAGTAGTTTTGTTTTATGTGTGTATGTTCATTTTGCAATACAAACGTGTATTTTGATGGCCCTGTGTTGTGGTGGGTGGTTTTAAACTTGTATTGGAAATTTACTTTCTTGTACTTTTATAGTTTTGTGACTGGTCTACCTTTGTCCTAGTGGCTTTGGGTCTTAATTTCAAAGCCCTACATGTTTTGAGACTGGTAGAGAGAAAAATGGGGAAAATAAAATAAATTTGTAGTGTTTTGCTTTCATAGCTAAAATTAGAAAAATCACTCCTTTAAGGCAGCAAAACTACACTCGAAGGGGTTTAGTGTTTACTCATGAGTGTGCTCCAATGCACTGACTTGCCTTGTTATCCTACCCATGTTGGCCTGGTTTTTATTTTTTATTTTTGTTGTTGATAATTTCCATGTTGGCATGATTCTCACTTGCTAAGTTAAAATTTCTGAATTTAAAGTAGTTTTCAATGCTAGAAGCAATTTATGCTTTGGCATACCTTCCGAAAAGACCGGGAAAAAAAAATAATAATAAATCTGCTTTGGGATAAAATGCAGCCTTCCAAGTTTCTTTTAGAAGTGCACATTGGTTTATTGGATGTTCTCTCTCTCTCTCTCTCTCTCTCTCTCTCTCTACATATATATATTGTAACTGGAGAACCACTTGCTTTAATCAGTATAACTAGGTCATAATTGCCAGCTTCGCTATTAAATTGTGACTTCTTCTTTCTAAATGTGGAGTCACTTTTAATTTGTCATTCTTAGTGGCCGCTGATGATTTTCTTGAGCAAGACTTGCTGGTGACTTCCATAATGGTATGAAAGATTATAATGCATCACACTTAATCATGGTTTCTTTTTACAAATCTTATATTGAGCTTAAAATCTGGCTTGAAGCATTCAGTTTGAATTATACACATCCGGAAGGGGAAGTATGAACTATTGTTGACTGGATTATAACATAACTACATGGATTGCAAAACTCTTTTAAAATTTCTAATTCTAATTGTTGACATATTTGTTAAAGGCTCAAGGAGTACTAAGATGGCGCGAGGTAAGTTCTGAGCCTGATCAAAGTTATGTTTGTGTGTTGAAAAAATTATATTTAATATATAAAATATAGAAAGAAAATCAAAACATGCAACACTAATTAGTCAAAATCAAAGTAAAGGAATTGGGGTATATAATCTTCTTTGTTATATCAAAGTAAGCGAATTGGAGTATGATTCTTTTTTTGCTTTTACTAATGCATGCTGTTGTTTATAATCTTCTTCTACTTTATGTTTTCTAGCATAAGTTGTTCCATGTGCAGATTAACAAAATATATATGGTATATTTTTAAATGTTTATGGATGTGATCCTGTTTCTTGTAAGCAAGTAAATTGTATCCATTGAAATAGAAAGATTCCTTTTTGTGCTCTAGATTCCAGTCCCATACTTAGAAATGGAGAGAGTGGAGATTGGATTGGAACATTTGAAGGTCATAAGGGTGCAGTGTGGAGCTGCTGCTTGGACACGAATGCTTTACGTGCCGCATCTGGTTCTGCGGACTTCACTGCGTATGTTTCATGCTCTCCCCTTTCACCCTCCACAGAAAAGGGTAAAAAAATCCCCGAACGGAAGAGACTTATCTTTTTGTCTGAAGTTGAATAATCTATATAATGCTGTGGATCACTGTTATATGTTTTTTTCTTATGCCACCACATGATAGAGATGTTTATGATATGAAATTTATGTGTAAATGTTGGGAATCTTGTGATTAAACACAATATTGGTTCAGGAAACTATTCAAGACCCCATCCCCCACATCGTCCTTATTGGTTTCCATATATGAATATATGATTTTATGCTTCATACTGTGTTTCTTGGCTGCATTTCTTTGGCAGTTCTTCGTGTTTTCTGTTTATTTTCCCAAAATAACCATGATATTTCCACACATCTATATTCTAGATGATAAGCTATTAGAGCATGGGAATCAGCAGCATGTTAGCTTTTTTTTGTTGACCCATATATTGCAAAAGCAAGTTCATATTATGGGTATTGTCCATTTAACATCATTAGATGCTTTCTACCACCACTGTCAACATGCACACACACTACTTCCTGCAGTATCTCATCTCTAAGCTCCTCCCAATTCTGAGAGTTCCGGCCTGAATCTCCTCTGAGGTTCAAGAATTGTTTAGCCTATTAAAATGGGCCTCTTGACAATGTTGATATTGTATGGTACTGCTAGGGTTATGGAGATTAACTGGATGTGGAATCTATGATCCTAAAAACAATGTTCTTAATCCCGAAGTGTTCACCATTCATTGAACCGGAAAAGTGGCTGGGTCTGCTGTTCAATTTCTGGGTCAATCAAAATTGCACCCTGATGGTATGATCTCTCCTCCCCAAAGGGAAGGTTGAGCGTTCGAGCCTTGCTAGGGGCAATATTGGGAGTGCGCGCGCGCTTGGTTTCCCTTTCGGGAAAAAAAAAAAAAAAATTTTTTTTTGCACCATGATGTTGTAAATATGTAATTGAACTGTGGTGTCATAAAGATATTATTTAATACTCACTGATATAGAAAAAGAATAATATTACTAAAAAAAAATCTAAAATTTACTCTCAAGTCAAGTCTTTTTTGTTTAGTGGAATATGAAATCAATTTTGCGGTAGGCGTTCCAATTGGTGGGTCTTTTGTCTAGTCTAGTACCATGTGGAATTGTTGAGTCAAAGCATGTGACAATGAATGAATCCATTACTCAGTGGGCCATCTTCATGAGTCCGCGAGTGGCATTACCTATTGCAACTAATATTTTTATTTTTATTTTTTTGTTAAGACTAGCTCAACTAAAAATAATTAAAGAAAATGTTAAGTTGGTTTGTTTATATGTAAATTTGCAAGTGGACTAAACAGATCATAGTTGGTACTTGGTTTTCGGTAATTACACCCAGCATTGTATTTATGTGACAGGTGATTTATATAATAATGTTTAATAAATGGTAATAATGTGTCATTAATTATTGTAACTTAAACAAAGGTCAGACACTAAGTAACCAACCTTCTCGTCCCCGTGCTTCTGTTATTTTATTTGGACTGAATTAGTGGTTATGTTCTACTTATCTGACTACGACAATTACTGGCCTAAATCACATGCAGGAAAATATGGGATGCATTGACCGGGGATGTGCTGCATTCATTTGAGCACAAGCACATAGTTCGAGCCTGTGCTTTCTCAGAGGTATATGTCCCCTTCTGCAAGCTACATGCAGTACGTTGAATGAGCACAACAATTTAGTTGCCAATTGACCACTGTGTTCTTACTGTGATGAATGATACATTCATTTTTTGCAGTTACTTATGTGGTAATCTCGAGGTTATATTTTGTTTTAGTTTATGATTCCTACAATTGTGATTATAGTTGTCAGCAGTTGTGATTTCGAATAGTTCTTGAACGAATTACCTAACGAGTAATCATATTGGTGTGATCATTACATCGCTGAGATTGTATTTTTAGATTTGTATTTTTATGGCTTATCTAGTTCTTGCTGGAAAATTAAGTGTTTTCAGGGAGTAGCAGTTTCTGTTGTAGATTTTGGTAGACATTAGTGTTCGGTTGGTGGCATCTTTTCTGTGTTTTAATTGTATTGTTAGATTTGTATTTATATGGTTTTTTCTTATTGTTTCTGGAAAATTAAGTGTTACCAAGGAATAGCATTTTCTGTTGTAGATTTTGGTAGAAGCTAGTGTTGGTCTGGTGATATCTTTTGGCACTCTTATGATTTGCTTATATATTGTACTTATTTTGCTTGAGAGTGGAAAATTACCTTTATGTCTCTCAACTGCAAGATAAGTAATTCAAACTCAAACCAGACATTACTTTAATTATTGCATCCTTCCAATACTCATGTTTCTTAAACACTGTTTGCTTACTAATTATCGGAGTTCAGAAAATTCTTCATGAAATTATTTTAACTTCCTTATTTTCTTTATCTGTAGTTCTTATTAGTTTTTTGTTTATCTGGTCAGGATACACACCTTTTACTTACTGGGGGGGTTGAGAAACTCCTTCGTATATATGATTTGAATCGGCCTGATGCACCTCCAAGAGAAGTGGATAAGTCTCCGGGCTCCGTCAGAACTGTTGCATGGCTCCATAGTGATCAAACAATATTAAGTTCTTGTACTGATACAGGGGGTGTCAGGTACAAATGTCTTATGGAACTATGGGTTTGAAAGCTGCTTATGTATTCTTTATTTGAGTTCATGTTCTTATATTTATGTGTAATAGTATGCTGTGAATGTGTCTACTTGGTTATTTAGCTGAGGCTCTTTTGGTCATTTTCCTTTCATAAAGAAACTGAATCACCATCTCGTATGTGTTTTTTGTGTGGCAAGAAGATAAATTTTCTCCAGTTTAGAATGTTAACGAGGTTTGTTGTGCTGTCTTTTTGCCTTGTGTGCGGTCAGAACTCTTTTTTATTATGGTTTTATTTGTATATAAGTAATAGCATATATGAAGTTGTTATGAATTAATCCCTTTCATATTAACTCTGATACCACTTGTTAGGAATTAATCTGCTCAAGATCATACACAACAAATATGCATTGACAACAAAAGAATATATGATGGAAATGACACACCCAACAAAGAACAATGTTTACACAACTAAATTTTATTTAAGAGGAGAATATTACAACTCTCAAAGGATTACCTAGTGGTATTCCACACTCACTCACTAGAAGAAGACACACACTCTTCTTATACAAGGAGTACACTCACACTTGGCCCTCACTAGCTTCTCTCTATTCTCACCGCCGTCATTGACCGTCAAGTATTTCGGCGCCAACTTAGCAGGCTCAAAGCTGTCCCCAGATTACTTCAAAGCGTACTTTCTCTCTCTTTAAGTTTTCCTCATTAAGTGCACAATACAATGCTCTGCCATCTTATTTAATGCACAAATGACACATTGAGCAAACATTTCTTGTTGACCATAACATACACCTGTATACACATTCCATGCATGTACACTTCATCGCCACACACAGGTCACTAATTCCTACATTTACTATTAGCCACATAATTCAAAACAATCATGTTCAACATTTTGCAACACACACTTCACTGAGCCAATAAATTTGAGCCAATTCAACAAAAGTTTTAAGTTTTTCCTTTTGATAAGTTGGCTATCTATTTCAGCTTTCGGCAGTTTCATAACACCATTGTAAGAGGGCTGGTTCCTATTAACATTTTCTGGAAAATTGTTATTACACTTAATTAATGTGAGAACACTAACAAACAGTTTTTGAGTTTAGCTTGAGTAGAAGTATAAGAATTGTAGAGTAGCTTTATTGGAAAAGGAATCTACTGGGGCACATTCAATGCTATTATCTGGGGATCTTGACTTTGTTTGGTGGTTTATGAGATGTCTTTTGATGCAGAGTTATATGTAGCATAGATAAAAATGAGGGAGGAGGAAAAAGAACTCAAGAAGTTTGGCAAATTAGCTAGTGATTCTGAACAATGATCTTTAAGGTGGAGATTGGATAAGAGGCTTGTTTGAGTAGAGAGTTGCAAGGAAAATTAAGGAATTAGCAAACAACACAACAAGGCCATCTCTTTAGGTTCCATTTCCCATTTATACTGTAGATCTGTTTGATCTAAGTCTTAATTTTTTGACTTAGGTGCCAGAATATTGTCATTTGCTCAAAAAAATTTAAACAACAAGAAGCTATAACCATCGAATGGGGATTTGAGTGAAGAAGCTACATTGGTTGTAAGCTTGCTGTTCTTATTGTACTTTTCTGTGCTTATAGTACTTTTTACTTATACATAATATAAAAACATGTGGAATAACATATTCGACAACATTTGCCAAATTACTATCAAGGATGCCAAGCTGCATTGACAAAGATTTCCTTTAAAGTTGTCACCTGTCTCCTGGATTTCATTGTCCATCGACATCTTCTGCTTCTAATCTAGAGTAACTCATTATATTGTTTTCCAAGAGTGTGTCATTCTATTTGTTATCTCCAACTCTGCTTGAAATTACTTCTGTTTTGTCAGAGGTAGTTACTGTACATGGCTCAGCGGCAATTAATATTTTTCTATCCTGTGCCATGCATGAACGCCCGAAAATGTCAGATATAAGAATTCCTGGCAGCTACCATTTTTTAATCTTTATTTCTTAAATTGTTTCAAATGTAGTCATATTTTTTTTATCAATTATGGATTGGATTTTTTCAGATTGCATTGCTTGCTTAATTTTTATACCAACCTTCATTAATTGTACTGGCAAATACAGATTATGGGATGTAAGAGCCGGTAGTATTGTCCGGACGCTTGAAACTAAAGCTCCTGTAACCAGTGCTGAAGTGAGCCAAGATGGCCGATATATCACAACTGCTGATGGGTTCACTGTAAAGTTTTGGGATGCAAACTAGTAAGTTCCTGGCTAAAATGAACTGCTTTATAGCAATTTTTTTTGCAAATGTATGATAAGATTATTTGTCATTTCCAGTTTTGGATTGGTGAAAAGCTACAACATGCCATGCACTGTAGAATCAGCTTCTTTGGAGCCAAAGTATGGCGTAAAGTTTATTGCTGGTGGAGAAGATATGTGGATTCATGTGTTTGATTTCTACACTGGTGAAGAGATCGGTATGTTGTGCTGCAGAATGAATAGGATTTAATGGAAAATCTCTTTGAATGATGTTAAGACTTTTGGGAATGGATTAAATGCATGAATTTTAGATTTATCAAAGCGCCCTTTCTGTGAGGATATTTAGTGGATGGATTTCCTCATAGTTCTTTGGATTCTTGCCTGTTTCCCATGTGACCCCCTCAAATAACAATCTAGTAGATTTTAAAAGCTTGACTTGCACTACTTTAGGGTAGATACTATATTCTATCTGGTCCTGAAAACATCTTTTTATCTTCAGTTTGGTACCCAAGTATAAATGATGCTGTTACTTATTAATGCTTGATGCAGCATGCAACAAGGGCCACCATGGTCCAGTACACTGCCTCCGTTTTTCGCCAGGAGGGGAATCATATGCATCGGGATCTGAGGATGGGACTATCAGGATATGGCAGACGGGGCCTCTGACTCACGATGACAGCGACACTGTTACAGCGAACGGGTTGATTGGAAAAGAGAAGGTTGCTGCAGAAGAGGTTTCACGCAAGGTTGAGGGCTTCCACATTGCAGATGAGGTGAAGACAGGAGAGAAAGAAGAGGGAAATGCATGATATGATTGAACATGTAGTCCAACTTATTGCCTTGCATACTGCTATACCTTTTTTTATCGGATGTCAGAATGCACCTTTTTTTCATACAATTTTCAATTGCTTTTGCCATTGAAAATGCGACCTGAACCTTTTCTTTTCATCAGTATGTATAGAGGAAGATGGTTAGGATCAGGCTCATGAGAAGATGTCTCCATTGATTTTCCTTTTTTGGATGGTTCGAAGCTATTTGAAACTTCATGATGAATGATCTTTATAGCTTGATACTATTCGTATCCTCCCATGTCTGTCATCTTCCTTGTTAATGCTGCCTTCAGGGATATGCAGAGATTGTATTTAGGCTCAGGGTGACGATGGCTATTCTGGAATACCATTTTTTTTTTTCCTATTAGGTCACCAGAAATCTTTGTTTTAGAGAATCGTTGTTGTCCCTGGGACTACAGTTTACTCAGAAAAACTTTGTATTTGAAGCTAGTTTTTGATTATTGCAATGGCTGCTAAAGGATTGTTGGGTCTTCAAGGTATATGCATCGCGTTCATATCTAATACTCTCTCTGTCCCAAAAAGAATGTATATTTTGAGAAACTATGACTCACAAAAAAGACCTCACAAAAAAGACATTCTTTTGTGAGTCACAGTTTTTCAAGAGACACATTCTTTTTTGGACAGAGGGCAAAAAGAGGGAGTGTGTAATTATATCTAAACTTTTTTTTTTTTTAATTATATCTAACCTCAATAGCAAGAAAGCAATAACTCATAATATGTTTGGTCTATTCTAATTTCAAAGTATCAATTCTATGTAACTGAAGTTTTGATGTAAGGGGTAAGTCAACTACCCATTTTATCTTACGAAAACTCGAACTCTCACCTTTCACTTTGGAAGAAGGTAGATGATTCGGTTTGGTTATAGTCTTTTCTCAACTTTGGTAGCCCGGTCTTTTATTTGTCGCATTTGTTCTTTGAAGTAAATGGGTGTTACAATGGTTTGGCATCCTCGAAGTAATGGTATTGCTGCATATGCGCTGAAAAGATATTTACACATGTGCAGGAAATGATCCTCTTTCCATTTAATATGGCATGCATTTAATATGCGGCCCTTCAAAATTCTGAAACGAAAATGAATTTATATTATAAATTTAGGAAAGTTTTCAAAATAATTTAGGAGCTAAAATTTGACATTCAATCTTTAGATTAAGACACTTCAGGGCATTTCTAAAAGGAAAGGAGAAACACCCTGTGGACTACTCCTAACCCTATTGATATATCAGATGCAACCAGGCTAGCTCTCTTCCTGAAGCTACCACCGTGTGCATTATAGCTTACATTCGGACAATTCTTCAAACGGAAAGCAAAAATAGTAAATCCCAACAATCATTCCCCACCTCCACCCGATTAGAAATAGCCGACTCCCACCACTAAAATATGGATGTTCAAATGAATGAAAAGTTGTAGTTATGGAGTTCAAATGGCTGATACCTTTGGAACATCCACTGGGAACTGATCAATCTCATCCATCCATGGGTTATTCCCCTTTGTTGCCCTAACAGTCCTTAAAGCCTTCCACACAGAGCTGTTACACTTAAACCCTGAACCAAATGCTATTTGCCATATTCTATCTCCCTTCTTCACCCTTCCCTTGGCTTCTGAATATGCCAGTTCATACCACAAGGAACTGCTTGAAGTGTTCCCGAATCGATAAAGTGTCATCCGGGACGGCTCCATATGCCAATCAGAAAGCTGCAAGTTCTTCTCCAATTCATCCAAAACAGCTCGTCCTCCAGCATGAATGCAGAAATGTTCAAAAGCTAGTTTGAAATTGGGAATGTAAGGCTTCACATTCTTCATCTTGAAAAGTTTTCTCCCGACTAAGGTAGCAAAGAAAAGCAACTGTTCAGACATCGGCAGAACAAGAGGCCCCAATGTAGTGATGTTGGTCTTTAAAGCATCACCAGCGACTGCCATTAGCTCCTTCGACAAAGAAACCCCAATGTTCCCATCGGAGTCCTCTTCTTGTGTCACGCAGGCAAAGCATTTATCATCGGCACCCTTGTGGGTCCTGACAGCGTGCACCAATTGATATTTGGATCTTCTTCTGTCGGAGCGTTTGTTAGAAAGCAGTATCGCAGCACCTCCCATTCGAAATAAGCAATTTGAAACAAGCTTCGATCTATCATTCCCAAAGTACCAGTTCAAAGTGATGTTCTCCATGCTGATAACTAAAGCGTACGAGTTGGGATGGACCTGAAGAAGTTTTTGAGCAAGATCTATCGATATTAAACCCGCGCTGCAACCCATGCCACCTAAATTGTAGCTTTCTATGTTTCCCCTGAGCTTGTAATGGTTGATGACCATGGCAGATAAAGATGGGGTTGGATTGAACAAGCTACAATTCACTACCAAGATCCCAATATCTTTGGGTTTGACAGATGTCTTGGCAAAAAGCTCATCAATTGCACCATACATTACAGTCTCGGCTTCCTTTCTAGCTTCTTTCATTGATGGATTTGGAGGTACATTGGTGATAGCCTCAGGAAGGTAAGTAGAATCCCCAAGCCCAGATCTTTCAACAATCTTACGCTGGAACTCAAGATTTTCCTCCGTAAATGCACCAATTAATCGAGATTGATCCATAAACATCTTTTTTGAAAATCTTTGAGCTTCATCAGGCTTGTAGCATGAGAAGTCAACAAGGTATACAGGGCGAGGACGAGTGACGTAGTAAATGGTGGATACAAACACTAGAAGTGTTGAGCAGAGCACTACAGAGATTAGGTTATATTGAAGATTATCCCAAAGATCATAAAGATCTTGGAGAGAGAATGTCGAGATTTGTGCGGCAAATAGGACTACAAGAGGGGAAAGAAAGAGGAACATTCCATGAGTCATGAGATAATGATAACCAAGCTTAACATATTTTAACTTCACTGAATTCTTATAATCGGGAAGCTTCAACGATGAAGGCGAGATTAAGGGTGCCTTCAGTCTAGGTTCTGTCATTTTCCCTGATAAAAAATTATAGAACATGGTTTAGATAAATGCAACAAATAAAAAATCTCAGTTACTAGCAGAAAATAGGCATGGAAAATAAAGTTCTAAAAAATGGGTGTTTCATGATACCATTTTTTATGGTCAAACTAGATCAAAACATGCCTTTGATTGATAATTTGGCTAATGAGTTTCTCTAAACCAAATAATTAAGGCTATCTAGAACAACAAATCAACAATGTAAAAAAGAACGCAAAAAATATGGGGTCTTGTGGTGACCTAGATCCATACACCCAATATGGTTATAAATAGTACCAATAATAATATAGGTCCATGAAAACATAATCCATTTTATTCAATGACCCCGATCTAGACAGGACAACGAAATTTATACTATTCATCACAAGCTTATTACCAAAAGACCGTTATTAAAACAAAATTAGTCAAATTTCACTAAATTGATGTTGAAATGCACATAAAAATGCAGAGAAATGATAACCAAACAACACCCACATCATAATTCACATAAAACACACACACACAAACGAATTACTTTCACAAAAAACGTTATTTATACAAAACCCAGATCAGAAATCACATCAAGAACTCAACTTTTGTGTACTTCACAAAGAAATCAAGTGCAATAAAAAATGGACAAAATTCAGATCGATAAAACTGACCTTAAGGTAGAATCAAAGCTCAGATCGCTTGAATTTTCCAAGAGAAGCCAAAGAGAGAGACGAGGGAGAGAGGAAAAGAGTAAAATGGGAAACAAAAATGTCAAAGCTGTATTAAAATATAATCCAAAAATTTGTGAAGCGTAATGGGGATCTATTTATACTGGAAATGAGAGCAACAAGCGACGAGTTCCTGCCAAATTTAAAAAGTATAATAATGATTGAGAAGCCAGTTCACTGTAATGGCAAGCGAACTCGGGTTTGAATATTTTAGAGAGAGAGAGAGATGCAGGCGGCGTAGGCCGGTTTTGAAAATTAAAAAGCTTTGACTAGCGGTCTCTGTCCGGTAATCAATGGTTATGGTCTCTCTCTCTTCTGTGGAATAATTGCCAGCCGTTTGGGTCCGTCTTATCCAACGATAGCAATACATGTGGTGTAACTTCGGTCACATAATGCTTCTAAGCAAGTGTCATTCTCACTACAATTTTTTTTGCGCATCATTATACTTTTGATTTCATTAAGTGCGATTTAGATTTTGTCATTTTGAACTATTGTTTTTGTTTTATTGTGAATTAGGTTTGAACTATATTCTCTCTCTTCGGAATATTCATTTTCATTTTATGTGACTTAGGTTCGAATTATCACCCCCTCTCAATGATTTATTTGGTCAGTAAAAAAGAAAAGAAAATAAATGATAATCAGGTGAGTTGAAGAAAATTAAGGAGGAAAGATGATGATATTATTAATTATTTATAGTATTAGTTGATTAAGGAAAAAGAAAAAGAAAAGAAAATGATAGTAATAAGAAAAAAAAAAAAAAAAAAAAAAAAGGAGGAAAAAAAATTATTTTAATGAATCTTTTTGGTAGATTTTGTTTTCTTATAAAAATAAAGACAATTTTATACTAGCATTTTCTTCCCGTTGCTATTCATACCTTATTACATCTCTCATTCATGTTAAAAAAGAAAATATTAAATATTTCGATAGTATGATAAGCGTATGGTAACCAAAATGCCCAAGACATACTGAAATGGGAAGGTGAAGTGAGAGATTAGCCCACAACTCAAAATAGGACAATCCAAAAGCCCCTTACTTTCAAGGGCTCTATTCCAATCCAATGAACAAAGAAGAAAGTTTCCAAACATTACTAGCCGCCTAAGTAGCTAAAACAATATTTCTAAATCGATGAGTAGGAGTAGCTAATCTATCTTTTTGATTCAACCAAAGAAGTATCTCTCTAACGGAAGACGTGATCTAATACAAAAAGTCTCATCTCTTCTTTTCAATTTTAGGTGTAACTAAATGTTAGGTTTGGAGAACGACTTTTTTGATTTTTTATTTATTTTTTAATAGGGCGGTGTAAGCCCAGAATAATCTCTGGTGATTTGGAATCTTTTTTTCAGATTTTAGAGTATAAAATTTATGACGTTCAAATCTGTTAAAAACATTTTGAGAGTGAATTGCTATTAAAAAATAAAAATAAAATAATATTTCAGCAGAGATTGTTGTACCAACATCACCTGAATTATGTTATTTGATCAACTTTTCACAAAATTTTGAATTATTTGGTCAAAGTCTAAAAGTTGGAAAAAAAAAATAGCAAGTATAATAAAATGCTTCTTGTTTACCTAATTAATTAACCCAATCTTTTGTTTTGTCTAGATTTTCATCTAATCTACTTCGGGGATGCAATCCGAATAAAAAATTTCGCCACATTATGTGACCAAATAGGCCGAAGTTATAATTATCAACCTATAATTAGTAATTAGTCCAGAAATTATAATTATATATATATATATACACTGTATGCATTTCATATACATGAAATCAATTTGATGGCAAATCTCCCATCAAGAAAGAAAAGAAGTTGCTTTGGAGAAGCACACTGCTTCAAACTGTAACCTTTTTTTAAGAGTTGAGGTAAGGGATCAAAGGATTCTAACGAAATGGTATTAGTTTCTTATCCTCCAAGGAAAAAAATAGTTATTAGTGCATTAACAATTTGTTTCTCAAAAAAATATTGTTATATCCTTTCTCTTTATATCACTTCATGCCTATTTTGGAAAAGTGAAGCAAATATATTTATAGAAAAAAAAGGCACAAAGAAGGGGTAGTCCAAACAAGGAGCAAAGCCCAAAATTAAAACTGAAGTAGCCCAACAATGGAATTGGACTCTAGGGAAGCTAACCCTTCGGCCCAACAAGTTGAGACATAAGAGCCCATTTCCAAATCAAATTGAACACCGTTCCTTACTTTTACAACGTTAACAAAGCCTGCCCATGCCAATATGCAACGTCAAGTGTATAATGCCTGTCTGTATGCCGTGGGGCCTAGTCTTTTTGTTAGTAATCACTCTGGATTCAATTTCCGTGGAGTACTGATACTCGGTGTTAGAGTCGGACACATCTCATTAAATTTATGTAAATAAAGAATGATATTATTATGTGATGATGTCATACTAACGTCATTCCCACCTGCATAATTTTTTTTTTTTTTGAATTATTTAAGATAATTTTAGATTCGAGATTACAGTCAGTTCACAACGTAATATTCTAAAACATCATAAAAAAAAATGACAATTATGATGCCAGCTGCTTGAACAAGTTGTTGGCAGCTTATAAAAATCTAGCAACTCCCCGCTGGTGTGGTGACATGCTTCATTGTCCAATTTAATTTGAATCCCTAGTTGTTAATTATATATGGGAGGTCGATCTTTTGTTTTATGTGAATAAATTAAATAGTCACTAGATACATAATTCCAACAACCTACTTAATAATTAATACTACATAGTATACTGCTCTGAGGAATTTTATGATCGTGAATAATACTTTATTGTATAGCACGAATACATCATGACACATGCATTATGTTACATGGAAATGAAAAAAGTTTGATGTCCATTGTCCAGTGTCAGTGTCAACTTTTAACATTAGAGTATCATCAAAGAATTAATATAATCCATCATGAAGTCGTTCCCTCGTTTTGGAAAAATTTGGAACTTATGTACAAGCTCACAATCATCCATGCATGCAAGCGCGCATATATATATAAAATACATTCTTCAAACTCAAAGGATACTGATGAGTGTTGTGTGAATAAGAAACGTGGACTTTATTATATGACATCATTCCGATATCATGTGGTATAATTTATACCTCACATATTTCCTATTCTTCGAATGATGTATCATTTAGTCATTAAAAATTGTTACTTATCTCACTAAGCGTGAGTTGGGTTAATATATATATCTACTATAATTAAATACTCCTTTTGTCACAAATTAGGACGTTGTTCATCTTTTATTTTTGAATTGTTCCAAAATATTTGTCCACTTAAAAAGTTCAAAAAACACATTTCACATTTTTTCATAAAATAACCTTGAAATCTTAAAAAAAAATTCAAATTTGATTATATATATATATATATATATATATTCAAATTTGAAAGTTAACATACTAATTTTAAAAGGGAATAATACAATAATTATATGTTCTCTTAAAAAGTTCTATTCCACAAAAGAAATATCTAATATGGGACAAATGGAGTATTAAAAATTAAGCTAGGATGAGGCAAACTAATTGGATTTATTATGGGTTGCAATATTGTGCTGTGTACATCACTAAGAAATTAACATTTTGGGATTGTTGTTAGAATGATGAAAAAGCTTTTAATAGTAGAGTTGTCACAAAATTGTTATTAGTAAAAAACATGTTGGGTTTTGTAATACATTTTTGAAAGTACTTTTAAATTTGTTTAGTAACAATATTGTTTAAAGCTTACTGTGTTAGACATAAACTAATAATAATGTTATGTGATATTAATGCAAGTATAATTCATTCACATGTCATGACTGCTGATTACCATGACATGGTTAGTGATTATAAAATTAATTTAAATACACGTCAAACTGAAAAATAGAATTTATCATTTGAATTTTCACTCTACACACAGGATATGGTGTTTGTGTGGCTCATCAGATACAATGAGAACACTGATAGTGATTCAGATAAGTAAGAAATAAAAAATTGTATTTATAAAGAAAATGGATTAAATTGTTAAAAAAAGGAAGGTTACCTTTGTCTAGAAGACAATTCCGAAATTTACGATTTCTTGAAGAATAATAGAATAAACTAATTCCATCATTTTGTATAGATTTTGATATTGATCACTTTTGATTCAATTTTTAAATTTTTCCATTAGTAAACAAACATTCACCAAATAACAGTAATGTTAATAGGTAAAAAAAAAAAAATTAAAGAAATCTTGTTTGAAATCTCCTTCCAAATAAGAATCGATTAGGCACCGTCAAACCAAGAGGCAAAACAGTGAGAGAATTAGATGCGGTGGTGGTTTGGTAGAAAATAAATTGGGGTAGTTTTAAATTTTTTTTCTAAAAAATTACTCTTAACCCAAACGTTATTTACATTATTTAATGGACTGTTTATTAATGTTTAAAAGTAGTATCATTCTAATGGACTGTTTATTAATGTTTAAAAGTAGTATCATTCTAATTTTTTTAAAAATAAGACTAATATCATAACCTATATAAAATTATGGGACTAAAAAAAAAAAAAAAAACCTAAAAATAGAGATTAGCCAGTTTAGTTTCATATAGGATGCCACATTGCGCCATGTATGAAGAATGCCCCATCATTTTTACTACCAATGGAAGGATATAAAATGACCAAATTACCCCACAGTCATGGTCAATTGGATATTGGGAACCCGTATCATATCTATAGGATAATGTGGCGAACATTTTCTACCTCTGAAACGCAACATCCACTGCCTTTCTCATTGTCAATTTTAGATGACCCAACAATGCACCCAAAAAATGATGCTTTATGACCCACTCGAGGGTCAGACCAACGTGTACGCTGACCTGTCATTCAAATTTCCTATGTGGCTGGAACACATAGGACCACGTCTCATTGGCATTGGGTCATACACACCCTTCAAGCCTCACTCCACACTCTTTCCGTGGCTTGCTAGTGCCAAAACGAGCCCAACACTCTCTTCCCTTTATAAGACCATATATATATCCCCCATGACCACCCAGTTTAAACTCAATCCAAACCACTAAAACCCTAATTTTCATCTTCTAGTTGTCTTACCACTTTTCTTCCTCCACTCCAAATTTTCCTGAGAAAATGTCTCTCATTTCCAAGGTCATTGGGTCATGGTACAAGAGGCATGGCGATGGCGATGATGACGGAGATGACGGCTATGATTATGCCCCAGCAGCGTGCATGGAAGGGGATGGTGATGACGACGACGGAGATTATGACTATGCTCCCGCCGCATCCATGGAGGGGGACGATGACGACGACGACGACGGTGGTTATGATTATGCTCCAGCTGCATGATATGTGTATTATTAGTACTAGATATGTTTGCTTCAAAACTTGACCTCTGACCCTAATCATGGGGTATTTATATATAAGCCCCATAGTTTTGTAGGCTATGATATGATTTAAGGCTTCAAATCAGTGTGTGTTATCGCATTTTGATGGTGTTGATTTGTGCCCTATGAGCTTTGCTCGATCCAGAGTGTCTTTGTAGAAGATAATAAATGAGGAAGATATATAATATGATTATGCATCTTATATTTAAATTCCTACGCCGTCATCTCCTTTATTCATCATGCGACCTGTGACATAATGTTAGTCATAAGATGATTAATATTTACAACATCAATTACTAAATTAAAGCCTTATTTAATTGTTTTCTAGTGGAAGAAATAAATAATGTGTTTTTGCAGCCAATGCACATGTCATACAAAATTTTTGTTCCTAGGAAGAATGTTTTGTTGTCCGCTAGTGTTAGTTTATGGGCTAAAAAGAATGCTTTGAAAATTTGAATTTAAGTGCTCTAATGGGACCAAATACTAAGCAACAAATTAAATATTAAATAAAGACTGGGATTATGTAATCTTACTTAACTAAAGTGTCACAATTGGTCTTATTTCTATATAAATAATCTCATAAAATGTGGCATTTAATTAAATGGAGTACAAATTAATCCTTGACGGTACCCTATGCGTACGTCAATGCTCATAAAACCCAACTCACATGTTTACAAGTCTACATTTAAATATGGTCTGGGCTCTGGTCCACCAACAACAAAAGACAAAATCCCAATAAAAAAAATAGTACTACGTTGTTGGGCTTAGGTATTGGATAACAACCAGCAGTGCACTATTGATGAAGTATTATTACATCTATTCCTTGTGTACACCACCATTTGCAAAGCTAGGATTTAATGGAGAGGCCCAAGACAAGAAAGTGAAGAAATCATTCACACGCAGTGCGTCACACTATGTCCATTTTTCAGGGGCCATCCATTAATTCAGAGAGTGTTAATATGATGACCTTGATCAGTTGGAGATCTTTCTCTCTATACTTCAATATTAGTCTACATTCTAACCAACATTGGAAAAACAATGAATGTCTCCCTTAAAATTATATCAAATGTTCATTTTTTTATGAATTATTTTATTATTCCTTCCACCCACATAATTGTTGAGTTGCACTGTGCCCACAAATTAAGTCATTGAAAAATCTCCGGCTTTAATTTTTTATATTTTTAACAATTCTTTTAAGTTTATTTTTCTATGGAGTTATCATGAAAGAATGACGATATTATATATAGAACAGATACGGATACGATAGGACACAGATATTTCTACAAGTCAAATTTTAAAAAAGTAAGATACAGATACAGGGATGGTAATGGGGCGGAGTTGGGGCAGGTTTGACCAAATCCTACTCCGTCACGTTAAAAAATTTATTATACCAACTCCGCTCTTACTTCAGAACAGGTTTGTAATTGTTATGCTATCTCCACCCTTATTTCGATAGACAAAATACCGACTTCGTCCCATGTACTCATCTTAATTGCGAGGTGTGGCAGGGATGGGCCAGGTTATGCTACTTTTATTATGTAGTAAAAAAAAAAAAGTTACTAGCCCAACGTGCTCAAATTGGACTGATAAATAAGATGTCCTAACTTTTAAATTATTAAGTATTGAATATTAATATATTAACAAACACTTTCAGTAAAGCAACGAGAGTCTTAAAAATATAAAATGTATATTTTATATATACAAAAATTAAAAGATACATATATAATCGGGGCGAGGTCATTACTAAATTTGCCCTCACCCCAAACCTGCTTCGGATTTTCAATTATTTTACCATACTCGTCCTAAAACCATTTAAGAGACACTAAATCCACCCCATTAGGGGCGGGGGTGGGGCAAAAACCCTCCGGGTCGGAGGAAATTGACATCCCTATACGGGTACGACGTGAACACAGTTATATAATAATATAATTTTTTTTTATTATACAGTAATAGTATTATAAAATTAACTTTAATTCATTTATAATTCTATACTAAGGTGATATTTGATTATCCAATTCAATGCTTAATTCTGAATTAATTAAACGCTTATCCAATTAAGTTTTAATTGGCGTTTGATAACCAAATTTGAATACCACTGAAAATGATAAATATCACTTAAAATGGGCTAAAATTTTAAGTGATTGGGACATCACTTATCACTAAATACTGAACACTGAAAATTAAAAAAATATATAAAAATTTCAGCACATAAAATTCAATCTTTAAAATTTTCAGTATTTAATTTTCAGTTTTATCAAACAGCACATAAGAGTTGTTTTGAAATGAATTAGAAAATAAAATTATATCATTGTTGTAATAATTTTTATATCATATATACTATTATTTCACTACTTTGTCATGATAGTATTTATATTATTTTCAAAATTACTAGGTAGATTTGTGTTAGAAGTGTTTGAAAAGTGTTGGTTGTTTGAAAAGTGTCGGTGAAGTGTCTGAAATAATAAAATTAATCTTTATTTATGAACACCTATGTAAAGTATTGAACACGTATTCGAAGAGTGCCAGTGTCTGACACGGTACGGCTACTTCATAAAAGTATCCATGCTTCTTAAATGATAATAAAGGATTAAATAGTATTTGGAGATTTAATATTTAAAATTTTATTAAGTTAAAAAAAAAAAAAAATTGATTCTTCAACTTTTTATTCAAAAAGGTATATACATATTTTTACCAAACACGATTCAATATAAAAAAGAAGAATTTTAAGGTCTGTTCAACAACGGCAGCACAAGGGAACAGTGTGATTTCCAAATTTCTTTAAAAAACGGCGTCGTGTTAGCAGTTTTGAAGTCTTTGCCCCTTCCTCGAGTCGACCCCAATATTATTGCACCATTCATTCAACAGCGCAGTGTGGGAGACTCTGCAAAGCCCTTTCTCTCATCAGTGGATGGCAATGAAGTTTCAGATCCCTCTCAATATTTCAATGGAAAAGGTTCATTCTTCAAACCCTAAATTCTTATAAGCTTTCTATATTTTCTGCTCCACATATTTGTATCGCCAATAATCTAGCAGATCACTCCATTATTATCATTAATATTTGCAATGAAGTCCTTTTTTTAGTTCAGAACCTTTCAGATTTCACACAAATACGACTCTCAATTCGAAATCAATCCACATAAGTTCCTAATTTTGTTCAGATTCACTGGATTTACCAGTCAATTTGGGGGAAAAACATAATCGTCAAAACAAAACCATGGCTTCAATTCGATTCGATTCATCGAAGCAGTATTATGCCACTAGCAGTCTTGTTGTCGGCTATGCACTATGTTCGAGCTTGCTTGCAGTCATTAACAAATTCGCCATTACCAAATTCAACTACCCAGGTCTTCTCACTGCGTTGCAGTACCTAACTTCAGCTCTAGGGGTATGGGTTTTGGGCAAATTAGGGTTTCTACACCACGACCCATTCACATTTCAAACAGCCAAGAAATTCATGCCTGCGGCAATTGTTTTCTTCCTCGCCATTTTCACAAACACCAACTTGCTGCGTCATGCCAATGTTGATACCTTTATAGTTTTTCGATCCCTGACACCCCTATTGGTTGCAATAGCTGATACCACGTTTCGAAAACAGCCATGCCCATCAAAGCTAACTTTTTTATCTCTGGTGATTATTTTGGGTGGTGCTGTTGGGTATGTGGCCACGGATTCGGGTTTTACCCTCACTGCATACTCATGGGCATTTGCTTATTTGGTCACAATTACGACAGAGATGGTTTATATCAAACACATGGTTATGAGTCTGGGATTGAACACATGGGGTTTTGTGTTATACAACAATTTGTTATCTTTGATGATCTCTCCGGTGTTTTGGATTGTGACCGGAGAGTATCTTGATGTGTTCGCTGCTGTGGGATCAAATTCTGGGTATTGGTTTGAGCTGGGTGCATTTCTGGCAGTGTCTTTGTCTTGTGTGTTCGGGTTGCTCATCAGTTTCTTTGGGTTTGCAGCCAGGAAGGCGATCTCTGCTACTGCATTTACAGTGACTGGTGTAGTTAACAAGTTTCTTACAGTTGCCATCAATGTGATGATTTGGGATAAACATGCTAGTCCATTTGGCTTGCTTTGCCTCCTCTTAACCATTGCGGGCGGTGTATTTTATCAGCAGTCAGTCACAGGGGTTGGCAGCGCTCCCCCTGCCGTGTCTAAACCAATAGACATTGAAAATAAAGGTGATAGTTATGGTGATGATGATCAGGAAAAGGGCGTATCTGGTAAAATTACTGGTGTATGAGATCTTTTTACTTGTTCTGGTCATTGTGAAAAAGGCTAGTATTTGAAGATTTTATGCCACTTTTAGTGACTTAGTTATATTTTCCTGTAGGAAAAGAGAAAAGTTATATTTTCCTGTATCAGACATGCACAATATATTCTCTTGAGATGATTTGAATGCACTCTTTGCATGGACTCCTATACAACTTGTCGATTCTTGAGGCAGTGGCTACATCTTTTGTTTTGTGCAGCTGTAAATGGCCCATAACACTGTTGTTGTTGTTGTTGTTGTTTTTTTTTTTTTTTTCTCTAATTCTGTTGATTATTCCTTTATATCAAATGTAAAGGAGTATTAATTAAAAATGGTGAATTTTAGTTTAGCTCAAGGTGCACAAGCTGTCAGCATTGTAGTATGAATCCCAGGTGATTAGCTAATTCACATTTCCTATATGTAGAAATCCATATGATTTGTATCATCAATTTAGGGCCTTTAGTTAATCCCAAAAAGCTTGATAGATAATTTTGAGCCTCCTGTTCTTAAATTAGAGTGAATTACATCTGTTCCCTTCATTCTCTCCTGTAATGTGAAGACTTCATAGACAGTTGTGTGGTAGATTTTTGACTAAAGTTAGCTATCCACAGGCGTTACCACCAACTATTTTCAAGTTCGTAATATATGTGTTGTGACCCTTCAGTTTTAACACCATATGCAGCAGCAGCAGCAGCAGCAGCAAGAGAAAGGAGTATTACAAAGGTGAGGAAAGATGGCCAAAACCATATTGGCCATGCTAATGGCCGTAGCATGTCTGATTATGCCTTTTATTTTTCTTGTCGATTCTTGAAGCAGTGGCTATATCTTTTGTTTTGTTGAGTTGTTGTAAATGCCCCACAATAAAAGGAAGATTAGCACCGTACTTGTTTTTTCACCTCTAATTATGTTTGATTATTCCTTTCTCTTTGGCATTTTAGTTTCGTAGATACTTCTAGTTTGAATCAAGTGTCATTAATTGATTATTACAATGACCTCTTGGTTTATATCTTCTTCTCTAGGACTTGCTATAACTCAGCTGGGATTTATGGTCAATTAATGAACAAGGATTTTTTATGCTGTGTATCCAAATTTTTTATGATATAGGTAATCGGATGTGGAACAAGAATGCTCTAACATTCTCTCCCACCAGAAGCTCCCGTACTCGTAGATGAAGAACCTAGTGCTTGTCATTCAATCCAAAAGCTTAAGTTATTAGGTAGTGCTGCATATTCGCCCTTGCAATCCCTAGACCTTTTTATTCGGATCCAATGTGGAACAAAAATGTTCCAACACAAATTCACATTCATCTTAGACATTTGTGTGCTAGTTTTTATGAGATATAACTAATGCTTTGAGTACCATATCCAAACCACTGCCATCTCAACATCTTGATGAATACGGTAGGAATTTCTCTTAGCTACAGCTCTGGCCATGACCTGTGCAATCTCCATCTTTTACAACCATGTTTCTGGATATTGTTCACCTTGAATTGGTTTTTGTTTGTTAGATTTCTACGGGCTGTGATATTTCAACGGCTGGTGGGGCCCACATCTCCTGTAAGAGAGCCGTTCCAACCGATTAAGTTAAAAAAGAGTCATTCTAATTCTAGTTCTAAATTGAAAATAGAAGTGTTGGGCGTGAAGCATCCCAATGCTGCATGGGATGCTCACGTGGCTCTAAGCATGGTTTGAAAAGAGAACCTCTCATGGGCCAACGCTTTGAATGACGGTAATGAAATACCTTCGGCCTAGGACTGCAAATGAGCCGTACCGAGCCGAGCCTCAGGTTGTTCGGGTTTGGGTTTGGGCTCGTTTATTTATAGTTCGGCATGGACTCGGCTTGGGCTCGTGACGAGCTCAAAAATTTGAGCTCGGGCTCGGGCTTGGGCTCGCCTAATTTAAGAAAATAAATTAATTTTATAGTCAGAATTTGTTCAAGCTCGTTTTTGAGCTCGTCAACTCGTTTAGTAAATTTTTGTATATTTATCTTATATTTTCAAAAATTAAAAAATTTTATTTAAAAATAAAAAAATAATAAACTTGTCCTATAACGAGTCTACGGTTCATGAACATAAACGAACTTACATGAACTTATGTTCATGAACATAAACGAATTTACACGAACTTATGTTTACGGGCTTACACGAGTCGAGCCTAATATTGCTCAAGATCGGCTCGTTTACTAAACGAGCTTAGAAATCGAGCTCGGGCTCGACTCATTTATTTAATGAATAAGTCAGAGCCGAGCCGAGCCCATGAACAGTTCGATTCATTTGTAGTCCTACTTCAGCCTCCAATTTCTTACTATCGGAAATGAAAACATTAAATATTATTATGCAGCTAATTTTCAGACAAGAAATGCACAAGGGAAGCCTAATTTTAAACCCCAAGGTGGAGAGAGAGTGGTCACTACCCACAAATTACATGACTGGCATATGCCAATCCCAACTTTGGAGAATAATTTGGGTGTGCCCGGTGCACTGGGCACATTAAGACCGTCCGTGTGATATACATGCATTATACTTGCGAAAATGATTTTGGAGAAGAATTTGGGTGTGTCTGATGTACCAAGCAAACCGTTCGTGTGATGCACATGCATTATACTTGTGGTAATGAATATATAATGCGGTAATGAATGGTTCTGATGTGCCCATCGGGCACCCAAGTTCTCCCAACTTTGGCACTAAATATAACATTAGAGTCAGCAAAGGAACAACCAAATCCAGGAACAACGGGATGACATTGTCAACTTAATGATGCAAAATATTGACCTTAGAAGCAGAACTTTTGCTCCGCGGAGAATTATGTCTGCATGAATTGGTGACCAACAAACAATCCTAGATTCTTCCAATTGAATTGAAGAAGCATAAAAGGCAAGAACATAAATTTGTTGGAAGGAAAAATAGAATTATAAATATTAACTCTTAAAAAATTATCACATGGCTCAAGATTTGTTAATCACAACTCGACATATAAATAAATATGTCAAAAATGCACCGTTTAAAGTAATGATAGTTCATACAATAATCAGGACCCAAAAAAAAAACAGAAGAAAAGGATTAAGAACTGGTGTGAATGTGAACATGCATTGGAGTTTGTTGTCAAAAGTACCGTTTGGAGTAAACAAAAAAAAAAGAAGGATTATGATCTAAGAAAGGTTGTAAGACTAGGTTGGAAAGCAATTAGACAACCCTTTCGGTGCCTTGCCTTCGTCTTTTGGAACCCATTTAAAGTTTGCTTAATAAATATGTGGACTGTCATCAAATTATGCTACGAAATCAGTGCTAATTCTAATGCCATTTACTTGTGAAACCAACGATGTGGCTTTTCCCCATTGAGTAATAATACTTGTATCGATTTGTCACAGTGAATTACCTAACCGAATGTTTCTGATTAGTTATTTATGCATAATACATGTAAGTGGTAGATCTACTTCTTTGTTTATCTCATTCGTTGTAGTGAATTGTCAGACTTATTTCTATTAATTAGTCCATTTATGTATAATTAAAGAAGTGGGGCCCTCCACTTACATGTATTGTACATAAATAACTAATAAAAAATATTCGGTTAGGTAATTCATCGCAACAAATGGGTGCAAGTATCATTACTCTTCTCCATTATCAACTTCTTCTTTTTTTTATTTTATGAAATGCAGTTACTTTTTTATCATCACATTATAATATGTTTTTTATCATCACATACACTTTTACTGAGACTTAAATTTCTGACATTCTTTTGAGGAGTAAGAGCCTAATACCGTTATTACATTATGACATATTGAATTATACACAACACAATTCTTAAAATGTTCATATTATCATTGATCTGCTCATATATATATATATATATATATATAGTATACTTTTTAAATGGAGTGCTAATGAGGCAATTAACAGGTTAAAGTACGTAGCTCAATATTATGATTTGTCAATTTCAGCCTTCCAGAAATATTGTGCTAACCCATCATATAATGTCAAAAGAGATCCGGAAACAATTACTAGAAAAAACACAAAATAGAAAATAAATGAAGAAAAAAAAAGAAAAGAAAAGAGAATTTGGTATTTAACTCTATGTTAATGGAAAAAAATAGAGTAAAGAGAAATAGAAAGAAGGAAAAAGAATAAAAGATAATGCTAAAAACATTTGGATACTCTATATAATACATATTACAAAGTTAGATAATATATTTATAATATTATACTATATTGGGTTGGATTGATTCTAATAAGTATTCGTTTATTAATTACAACGTTATAGAATAATAATAATAAAAATAAATAAAAAGTCCATTTTCACTCAACATGGTGGGTTACGGCCGTGAGTGTCATTATCCACATAAACAAGGGCAAACATGTCAAAAGAACAAAAAGCAAAAAGTAACAGAAAACGCCGAGAACCATATAATCCAATCTTCAATTTTCATCAAATAAGACGTGATACAATGGAATGGATAACAAAACAAACCTTCACTTTTTCCTTATGACCTTTTTACCCTCTCTACTGTCCATCATTAAACATAGAGAACAACAAACACATTTAACAATACAAATTAACCCTACCCCTAACCCTAGTTACAGTAAAAGTTAAGTTAGAACTTGAGACTTCCATTGCCCTCTTGATCACCTTCCTCTCTCATCGCCAGCATTCTTCTCTCTCCACCACCATTGTTGCCACAGCTGTCACCCTTCCAGCTTCCACTCGTGGACCTGCCGTCTTCAATGCTCTCGGACCTGTCACCGGCGCCCCTTCCGTCAGATTCTGGCATGCTATGGGTAGGTGAGGTTGCCTTGTACACTTGGAGCTGGTGGTGGAGCGCGTGATGGTGGTGCAACTGGTGGTGGGGCTGTGGTGGCGTAGGATAATATTCTTGGGGCGCCTGTGGCGCACAGTAGAGTGGGGAGGCATGGGCAGTTGGGTGTGCGCCGTAGAGGGTGGGTGCACCACCGTGCGCCGCTGCGGTGGAGTAATCTTGTGGGACCCATATGCCCCCTAAGACCACCACCCGGGGCGGTTGTGTTCCTGCAGCTTGTGGGCTTGGACTTGGTCGTCTGGTGTGCAGTCTATATTTCTGTATATGTGTGTGCATATATATAGTCATCAGTATTTGTTAAACTAAGGACAATGCATGAGAATATGCACAGTACTGTTGTTCTGCATTTTGTTACACGTACGTACACAACTTTGCCAAATGAACCAGCAGTGAAAAGAAAAAGGGTGCTCATGCATGTCAGTGTGTGTGAGAGAGAGAGAGAGAAAGGCACCTGGAGATGGCTTTTAACTTCATCATTGGTCAAACCGTCAACCTTCATCAGTTCCCTGATTTGTTTTGGTGTGGCCACTGTAATTATTGTACCAAAAAAAAAAAAAATAAAAAGACAAATAATTTATTTATCATCATCATAGATTCATAAGATTAATTATAATTATATATGCATATCTATTTTTAAAAAAAAAATTCTCTATTACAATTTAGTACCTTGAGAACCACCTAACATCTGAAGAGCATTAACAAATCGTCGGTGCAACTCCGGGGACCAACACCTCCTAGCCTTCCTATGAGTTTGAGTAGTATTGGTACTGTTGGTGGTGGTTGCTGTTTCACCTTCTGCCGCAGTCTCGGCTCCTTTATCTTGGTGGATCCCGGCAGTTACAATATTGCCACCATTACAAGAAATGTCAATCCTGGAGTAAGATATTCCGGTTTCGGCTTCAGATAATTTCTTGTCCTCCAATATTTCTTTGTTGACAGACGCCAGAGCCAAATCAGGAAGAGCCATTGGACTATGACATGAGTTTCTTTCTTTGGAGAATGGATGAAAAGCACCTCCGCTCCTTTGTTTGTCATCTAAGGATAGCTTAGCACTGACACCAAAGCAGATTTCAGTTTTAGGGGATATTATGGTGTTTTGTGGTGGCTTGCTAATTTCCTCATGACTTGCTTGGCTCCAGAGTTGTGCAGATGTCATCCAATCTGCCTTGTCCGACATGTTTGTTGCCTTCTCTGAGCCTTCTGAGCTTGAATGTTTAAGGGGTATGAATTCTTCGAGCACCGGTCTTGGCCCTTGATTTGCCCGGTTGCTTTGTAGCTGCTGTCTTGAAGCCTCCATGGCTGAATATATATATAAGCCCGAAATAAGAAAACAGATCGATGGTAATTGTTTATATAACAGCTAGCATAAAGTGAGCTGTTACATGATGTGAATATTGCTATATTGAGAACAAAATCAGTATTGAAACTGTTTGGGGGATATATATATAAAAATTGTTTACCAATTAGCCTTTCTTCTTAAAAATGAAATTTAGAATGATCTGCAAACTTTTTTTTTTTTGAATGCTAAGAAATATTGGTGACAACTCAAATATATATAAAGTTAGGCACATGAAAAGCTATTTCTTGCTTCTACTAATGTAAAAGACAAAGCTAGAGAAGATTAAAAGCTAGACACTAATATTGTGCAGAACATGAATATCCACACTAGGGCAGTAATATATATATATGTATATATATATGAATGCCTTTTGAATCTTAAGGTAGCTAGATGATTTAGGTTCTGTATATATCTACCATATGCACATATATATAGTAAAGTTATGAATAATAATAGAGACTTGAACCATTAAGCTTAGAATGCAAAATCAGCGCAAAGATTACAATTATGCATATCAAAATGAAAAAGGAAAAAAAGAGAAGGTACCATTGGTGAGAAGTTGCATGCAGAGGGGAAGCTCTCGCTTGAAAGCATCGATCTTGAGGCGTTCTTCCTCGAGACGAGCAACGAACTCTTCAAGCTTTTGAGTCTGATCAGTCTGCTCTCCAAAAGATTTTGGCAGCATAGGATAGCTATGTGGTTTGTAATCCAGGCTTAGTTCTGAGGGAGACACCATCATTTACGTGTATATATGTATATATGTGTACGTGTCTTATAACAATAACAAATCTATTCAATCAACTTTCTAATTATCACAAATATATGTTGAAGCTCATCTAGGATCGAGGCACAGTGTTAAAATTGTATGTGGGAAGAAAGAAGAGCAAGAAAAGTGGGTGGTGGCCTATTTCTTTCTAGCTAGGTTTGAACTCATTGTGTGTGTGTGTGTGTGTGTGAGAGAGAGAGAGAGAGAGAGAGAGAGAGGGAGATGAAGGGATGAATGTTGTTTGTGAACACAAGGAGGATCGAGGGGGGATCGCCTTCTTTTTAGGGGTGAGTTCGAGGGAGAATAAAGTGGGGTTTTAGAGAGAGAAAGGGGAGAGAGAAAAGAAAAAGCAGCTAAATTAGGAGAGATAGATAAAGCACAAGGATGGTAACTTCTTGCAAAGAACAAAGGCAAAAGCTAACAAAATGTGACCTGACAGAAGGAATCAAGAGGCTAGCTCTCTGACACCTGAAGGTCATGTGCTAAGACTGTGTGTGTGTGAGAGAGAGAGAGAGAACCCTCCAACATGCAGTACGTCTTTATACTACAGTATATAGCTAGGAATTCAAATCACCATTCACCAATACAAAAGATGATTCTTCTTCCCTTCCTAGTTCCTAGTGTTCCTCCTCTCTTTTTATTTTTTCCCTTTTTATTTTTTTTTTCTTTTTTTTTGTTTTTTGAATTATGACCCGTTTAATATTTTCTTTTTATCCTAACATCCTTCTCTTTTTGCTGCCTATTTCTTTGTCATACTTAAAGGTTTTCATAAAAAGCCTCGTTGGGCTAAATTGGTTATTTTTCAATACGATTCCTGTCAACAAACTCAGGACATACATCCAATTAGTCGTAGGAGACCCCTTATCCACTAAGCTAGCTGTGCGGGTTAATATTTATTTTAAAATTGTGTAAAAGTGCAATACAATCCAAATTGTACCTTTGGGTGGCAAAATGGGTGTTAAGAAAGAGGATTGTTTGGATTTGTTTATGGTTATGATTAATTTGATCTCGTCAGGTTTAACAAAGAAAAACCTGCACAGTAAGTACCAAAATGAGGCAGTGTCCCATGTTCTTATTAAAGTATCCATTCATCTTTAAGATATGAAATAATGATTCTATTATGATTAATTAACAATATAAAGGCTTTGGAAAAAGCACATAACGTATGCATTTTTTTTATTTTTATTTTTACCACCTTGAGAAGAAGAAAGAGAGATTCTAAGGGTGCCCAATATCAAATTTCACCATGCAACTTTCTTTTTGGTTTCAAAAGCTGCATCATTGTTTACATTTGAGTGAATATATATATATATATATATATATATATATATATATATATATAACTGTATAGCACTTTGCAATATTCACTCAAATGTAGAACAATTGTTTAGAGAGAGAGAGAGAGTTAACCTAAAATGAAACATTCATTATAAGAATATAATATTTGCTCTTAAGAAAGGAATATCTGTGTTCCAATTCTACGACTCTAAAATTAAGGGAATACACCCACAAAGCTCAAAGCCCAAAAGAATAAAAAAGGAGCCTAAGAGATGGGAATCTTCTTCTCTGCTACTAACTTTAGTGAAGTGGGTAGGAAGGTAGGAAGATTCTCTTTATATATATATATATATATATATAGAGCAATACTATTAACAAGGGCTTTGAACTTCTAGAGAAGTTCGGATCCTGGTCATGATCCACCATCTTTCTGGTTTGGAAAGACCTGTTTATGTGCGTCTATTTATAGTTTATACACAATTCTACTGGCAGTCTTCAAATTATCAAAAATGCCCTTAAAGATGAGTAGCAATTATAAAATAAAAATGATATATATACAAGTCCAACACTGATTCCCTCACAAGAGAGTGATACGAAATGGAACTAAAAATATTATGACCTTAACTCCGGCCCATTTGCTGCTCTAAATGTTACATGATCTAATTAATTACAAAATTAGGCTTCAAAAGTGATTTAAAAAAATACTATTAAAAATAATGATAAAGTATGACAGGACATTCAAAGAATATTGTGATTTGAAAGAAAAAGTGACTGCGTATAAAAGTGGAATGTTGTGAATGTGTATGAAAGTGAGATGTTTGTTTATTAATCTATTGTTATATATCTTGAATTTGTATCTCAATGATGCATTTTAATTTTATAACGGACCATTTTTTTGCACCTTAATTAATTAAGGTAGGTGTGTATGTAAATATATGTGTATGCATGTATGTATTTCTATTACTTCAGTTTTTTGTTTATACATTTTTTTCCTTTGTGAGTTGGAATAAATTAATGTGGATTTTGAGAATTTGTGAGGACTGATGTGCCAACTTGGGAATAAAACTTTAACTAAAAAAAAACTTGGGAATAAAACACTTTAAAATGAGATACTATTATTATTTTTTATTGATAAAGAGCAATTTGTTTTTACATTATAATTTTTTTTTTTTTATATTTAAACATTGAACTATTTTTTTTTTTTTTTCAACTTCAATTATAAATCCCCAATTCATACTCAAAAACATATTTATTGTTTAATGGTTTGGTACCAAACTATTTGACCCGATCCAAGTCAATTCAATAGCATTGCAGTATGGTTACAGAGAGCGTTTGTGTACTGAAAAAGAGAGAAAATGGAGGGGTTGAGAGCGGAATAATGATAGTTGGTCGCTTTCTAAAATGAGTCTTCTGGAACAAGACTCCAACCCACACCTTTTATTCAGATTCTCTTCCTTCTCTCTCTCCATGTCATTCTGTGTACACGTCTTTCTTCTCTCTCTCTATATAAGCAATTTTCCTCGTAACACGTGTCCCAATATTCCCCATATCGTCCTTCTGAATATCCCTTTTGTCTGGTGCAAATATATTGGGAATATTCCCTTCCAATTACAGTATAATACGATATATCTAGTGACAAAATCGAAACCAAGGTTGTATATCGAAAATAGGTGGTGTGCTACAATGAGCTGCAGTAGAATCATTTTAACCTACGCCTATTATATGGGGACATTCTGGTGCTCCTCCATATACAGACTTAACCATTTTTCAATTTGAATATTTTATGGAAAAAAACCTACTGTAATATTTGAATGTTTTTGAGGAAATATTTGATTTTATAGAAAAACATGAGCTCAACCCTCAATAAGGTGGTAATTAAGATATTTTTCTGGCAACATTTTTTTATTATTTATTATTTATTATTTTATTGATACACACCTAGTTTGCAGTACTTTTTATTCTATTTTTTTTAAAATAAACAAAAAAAATTATCCCCTATGAAAATATGTAAACGGAAGCATATGCAAATGTTCCTATACAAATTACAGTTGCACCAATATGTCCACAAATCATATACATATATAATATGTATATATATTACTTACTTTGAGTATATTACATTTAAGAAAATTAGAAGTAAGAACTTTAAAACTTGTAACGTACCTAGTGTTATTTTCTTTCTTTCAAAGTGAACGATAAATGTGAAAGTTATTTCCTTTCTTTCAGCTATGAATTATTTTATACGTATATATATGCCCAATTAATTTGTTATATATATATATATATACATATATGCCCAATTACATGTTATAAACCTTCTTCTCCGGCTGTGGTTGTTGGGTAAGATTGTCCAAAAGTGCCAGCCAGAAGCAGCCTATCAGATACTTTTTACAAGCCCATCACGTGAAAAGCCCAAGTTTGGACCACTAGCCTTCTAAATATTGCCCCACAAGGCCTACATATTCCTATGGCTTTTTTCATGGATATTTCCAAAAGGCAAATTTATAGTATATAGCACGTAAATATTTTATATAGTGAATGTCTGTATGTGTGTGTATATATATACATATATATATAATATATGCAGCTGCAGGCGGCACTGCTGCAGCAGATACTTTACTTGTTAATGTAGATGTAAAAATTTTAGTGTTTGTTTGCCCATGAAATGCAATGCAATATTTTTAGACACTCATTAGTTTTGGTTCACAAAGATATGGAGGCATTTGAGTGGGGTATCATTAATGAAAAGACAAAATGAGTACGTATGGTAAATGCATTATATGATTCAGAATAAAATAAATAAATAAATAAATAAATATATTGACCCCTAAAAGCTTATTGCGTGAACTACCTCGTTGACATAATTTATTTTGAAGTTGAAACAAAAATTATCCACTAGCTAGCAATTGGTGCATGACATGTAGGTTTATATATATAATATACCCCGAACTATTAGTATATAATATGATATGCATGGAATAAACAAATGAATGCAGAAAAAAGCCAATAATGTAAGCATAATTACGCTCTGAAAAAGGTTTATATACTTATAATATAATCAATAAAGTTGCAAAAACAAGGATAAGAAATGCAAGATTCTATTCTTCTTTATCCATCCAAATGCCAAAACCATCTTCTTCTATCTCATTAGGTCAAGTCCATGAATTTTTATTTTCAGAATTCCATTCAACTCGATCATCAAATCAAAGACTAATATATATAAAGTGAGAAGAAAAAAAATGGATGGCCTTTAATTTGCAGGATATGAAATATGCTTAATTTAGGCTTTACGGAAAGCTAATGATAGGTACATTTACGGGCAGTAAGGTTTCTTTTGATGAGAATCATGAACTGGCAGTATTTTTTGATGCATGATGAGGAACTGATTGTTCTACTAAATCCTCTAACTCATGTAGGATAAATTCGCACTTTGCCATCAGAACTTGATTATATGTCGATGATTGATGTATATATATATATATAGCTTTGAATTTTGAATTATTCGGATGCTTATCCTACCTATCCTACTTAGTGAAGCTTTTCTAAAGTTGATGGTTTTTATAATATTCTTCTTCTCTTTAAACTATGATCAGGAAATATATATAGAGTATATATTATATTTGAAAATTTGAAGAAAATAATGTTTTACCAAATTAGTTGTGTATTCCATAGTTCCTCCTTTATATGATCTTATCCAACTAAACCTAGGACAATAAATAAGTAGTTGTGTAATTCACATTAATTGATCAATGATAAATAAACCCTATTAATTAGCCCCTTAAATCTGAATCTAATGTTATCGATCATTTCCACAACAATTTTATTAATGTTTCATTTGGGAGCATCGATACGGTTTGTTGGATTTGGATTTATTCAAAGGTTTTTTTAAAATTAATCTAGGGTGTCAGGAGCTCTTCACGCATCTTGACAATTTGCGTCTAGCTTCAACTTAATTATTTCTAATGAATGACAACAATTTTATTAATGTTACATTTGGGAGCATCGATACAGTTTGTTGGATTTGGATTTATTCAAAGTTTTTTTTAAATTAATCTAGGGTGTCAGGAGCTCTTCACGCATCTTGACTAATCCCCAAAGATCCAAAAAAATTGTCTCCCAATGAAGACGATTGCTTCTAGCTTCAACTTAATTATTTCTAATTTTAAATCAAAAGCACCTATTTGAAACTGCACGATTGATAAATATCCAATCCAAAGCTGGTTACGAGAAACTCCCAAATTAATTATATGTTATTGTACCACTCCTAACTATATATATATATATATATATATATATATATAAGTAAAATCAACGAAATTTTTTTGAAAAATTATAAAATAAGTTTTGACCTCGAAGAAGCATATAGCATCTGAAGCATGAGAGAGTGGGGATGGAATTAGAATCACTTTGGTCGGCCTCTTGGTAAAAGATAGCTTCTTAGAAAGACCACATTTAGAGTATTGTTGAAGACACGAATTTAGAAAGCTACAAACTTTAAGTTTATGCCACTGTTGACCTAATAGTATCCATTATTAAACCAATCTCACCCCATATATATATACTCATAACGCGTCACTACTACATTGGTCTAATACTTATAAATCAGTATCTTTCAACATTGTAGCCCATTAGGTTCCAAGTACTAATTTTTAGTGGTCCATATTGCTATGATTATAAGGTCGAATATATGTTATGATTATCTATTATAATTGTTGACCTATAGTTTCTATTTATGATTTATCTATCCATTTCTGATCGTGGATGACTATTTTGTTTTATACACCAATACTCGCAAACTTTTCGCTTTAAAATTTGAAAAAGTTCACTCTCAACATCTCTCAAAACAAAAAGAAAAATAAATAAAGAAAATATTTTTCAAAATTTAAATGTTAGATTAGTAAATGCAGATGATCGAAGTTTAGATAGCACTCCAAGATCGATAGGATACATTGGACTATGGAGGCTTTCAAGATATTTTATTAAAACAAATAAATAATTTACAAAGCTCCGAAGATATTTAAGTTTGAATTGCAAGTTGAAATTCTATAAATTGTAGACAACTAATTAAGAATTAATTAATTATTATTATAATTAAAAGAAAAAACAAGAACATTATATGAGTGCATGTATCTTCTTTCCCTCCCCAAGTAAAAGATTGAAAGTTCAGATTCTGATAAATTTAGAGCGGAGTGAGTTAGATATTTATTTTCCGAAAAGAAGATTGTAAGAAATATTTAACGGGCCCATTTAAATTTTATCTCATTGTATAGTTTACATCTTCATCTCTCGTTTTTGCATATTGTGAGTGGGTGCCTAATTGCTTGAACCGGCAAAAGACAGAAAATGAAATCATTCCCAGAGAGAGCTGAAGCCCAGATCTGGTACAGCAACGTCTTGTCAAAATGCCCTAGTTTGGACTCTGGATCAGAAACATGAGGCCCAAGAAATTGAAATGGGTTCGTATACTGGGCCAAGAATTAAGCTTTAGATAAATGGTTTGGGCTTCTTAATTCTCATACTTGTACGTATTTCTCTCTCTCTCAAAGCCTGAGACGAAAATCTGTGTCTGCCATTTTTTACGTTTCCATCTCTATTTCAGAAGAATTATGTGCATCATGCTCTTAAACATGTTCGCTGTTTGTGTAAGCTTAGCAGAAGATGAATTGAATTGTTTAAATTCTTATTTTTTTTTCAGATATGATATCTGGTACCCAAACTGTTCGATACAATGCGCAAAAGAAATGTGGTTGCTTGGAACTAAAATCTCAGGTCTTTTTTCCTTCTGCATTGCGATTATTACAGAATTAGTGATGAAATTTATTCTGAAACATTAAATGTCATTCTTTTTTGTCTCTTTTTATCTAGGTTTTTATTGCAAATCAATACCCTTTAAGAATATAGTAGATTAGTAGTAGAAACTCATATTATGAACTATAACTTTTGCATGCATTTCCTATTGCCGTTAAAATCACACACTGATAAGAGTTCAAATTCTGTACTAGTTATTAGTAGAGCTATATAGAAAAACTCATCTTCCATGTTAGTTTTAACCACTTAAGATTCAGAGCAGATCTCCAAGGTATTCGACCAGCTGGCCAGCCGTTGACCTACCCAAGTTTCCTTGAAATTCAACAGATTCTTTTTCATTATACAATTCTATGATGACCCATCATCCAACTCTTGCTCTAGTATTTAATACATATCCCATCTACAGTATCTATTTGACTATTTGAGTAACCAAGCAGGTTGGAAATAAAATAATTATTTTACTGTATATAAAAACAGACTGGAAAAGTATGAATGGAACATGCAAAGATTCACAGTGCAGGATGTGTGAAATATAATTTAAATAAATAAAAAAAAGGGAATTACTAAAGGTAATTCATAATCACTATAGGACCATCAGCTATTATGATAATGTTGATCGAGTAATTTTTTGGCCATGTGATCTGCATCTTTTCTTCTTCTTCTTCTTCTTCTTCTGTTAAATGATTCGCCAGAGCTAGCTTGAGCTGATTGACCTTCTAAAAGGATTCAATGAATTCATGCATGCTCTCCCTAGTTTGTCATTCAGACAACATTTCAAAGTAAAAAAACAGAGAGTCTCTTGTGACTTCGGTAATAACTCTCTCTCTTTTTCCATATTATACATGCTATTTGTTTTTGCGTTAATGCACAAGATAAATACAATTGCTCCAGCATAACAATTTTTTCTTTACATTTCCAAATTCAACTTCCAATTTATTTATTTATTTTTCGATAGGCAAATTCAATTTTCAACGCAAGAGGGAAATCAGAACAGAAAAGGTGCTTCCAGGTCAGTCTTAATTATTGAAGTTATTTCAGATTTTCAATTGAAATTATATAGAATTACAGTTTGCTGCCTGTATATTTCCTGGTAATCTGTTGAGAAAGAACATTAGAAAACTAGTTCATTTGGAGCAATAGGAGTTCATTGTTTCCTGAATTTTTTAAATTCCCACTTTTTCTTTTTCACAGTTGATTATCTGTTACCATTGAAGCTCATTTTCATAGCCAACATTGTTCCAGAGGATAAGGGTCCACCACAGTGATGGAAAATCTACCTTTAGTGCTTTACCTATGGACACTGTGGTTGCTGGTATTCATCTTTGGGCTTGCATCTTCATACAAGGATTTTAAAGGTTCAGATAATCCTTCGATAACATACACATACAGTCGCTTTTCCGAGATAGAAAAGCAGTGTGGTTTTATATTATCATTGGCCTCTGAGTTAGAACCTGATGATAACAGGGGCGACAGAATTAAAAAAGAGCTCTTCTTCTTGAATGGAGATTGGTACCAGGAGTCAGGCGGAGCACCACTGATGCCATTTGATGACTGTGACACGCCAAGCAACAGTCTTGGCAATGGGTCTCCCCTGAAATAAGTCTCTTTCAGGGTCATGAATGTGGATCCAGTTCGTAGAGCTAAACACACGGTTAGTGTCAGTGCTGCATTGGAAATTGCCATAACTAGAAGTCGCTTGTACTCATCCAAACCTTATCAATGGTCCCCAAATTTCTATATGACACAAGGGATCTCTAGCCTTACTATTCTCTTTGAAGGGATATATATTGAAACCGAGGATAATGGAGGAGAACGCTTGATGTGTTTGTTGGGGAATGCAAAAATGCCTACTTCAAGTCAATTTGTCGATCCATTGGAATCTATGAATGAATATGGTCATGAATATAGTTTCGGGTACAAAAACAAGTCCCCCCTTGTAAAAGATGATCAAATCTTGCTTGTTCTCCAGTACCCCAAAACCTTCACTTTAAGAACCAGAGATATCCATGGTGAAATGCAAAGCTTGAACCAGAAGTGGAATCTTACGTACTTTGATAAAATCCACATATCTTCTCAGTTGGGAAACAACTCACATTACCAGTTTGGGGCTGAAGATCTCTTGTCAAAAGCTTGCAGTCCATATCCACATCAAGATAATTTGGTTGTTGACAAGGTGAAGATGTTTAAAGAGATGGATTGTGTAAATTGCTTAGGGGTGTGGTGTTGAATGAGATTTTTAACCTTATGCCAAATTCGGAATGTATTGGCTTGGAAGATTATCATGGTAAGCTAGGGCTGTTTGTTCTAGATAGGAATATTGAGGCCGGTAATGGGGACTTCAACCACTTCAAGCTCATCATCCAGAACCTTCTTTGTGAGCCAGAAAATGATGAAAATGAGATGAAAGCTGCAAGGGTAGCTGCTGTTTTTCGAGTATTTAGTTCAAGCGAACAAAGGGAAAGGGAATATGGCACTTTCTGCAGAGGGAATATGGCATTCGTCAGATGGGCAGCTCTGCATGGTTGTTTGTCTTGGCCAAGTTGGTGCTCCTTCAGACAGAAGCAATTATCGTATCTGCTTGTACATTTCTCTTACTTTCTCTATTAAGCACCGAAGTATGGTGTTTGGGACCATATCTAGCATCAATGAGACAGACTTGCATCCTTCTCTAATGTTTGACATAGCAGCGCATCCTAAACATTTTTCGAATATTTTGTATTGGAGCAGAAACTTAAAATGCTCATACAATTATTCAAAGATTATGCAGGCAAGTCAGTTTCAAAAGAGAAGCGAGCCCTCCAAATTGAGTACTATTTTTAGGAAGTCGTTTCTTCTGTATCCATCACCAAAGGGTAATGATGAAGCCAGTTTCTCTTTTCTATCAGATGTGCTCTCGTATCATCTTTGTGCTGAATCACGCAAACTACTAAATGCTCAGACATGTGTTGAAATAATGGTACTCTCTTTGGGTTCATCATGCGGACGTTATTGGTCCCATGTACATGAAGAGAAACATGAGATTGGAAAACCAGTCTATTCTAATGCAGGAACAATCGAAATTTCAGGGCATCTCAGCTTTACTAGTCAACAGTCCAACAGTCTTTCTCTGAGGTTTGAGGGTTTATATAACACTATTGTTGGAGAAATGTATCTAATTGGTTGCAGGGATTCTCGATCTTTTCAGAAGTTCATAAACAATGCCACAAAGCTTGAAGGAGGAATGGATTGTCTGATTGAAGTCAAGATAAAGTATCCACCCAGAAATGCACGTTGGCTATCAAATCCAAAAATCAAAGTCTCTGTCATCGGCAAAAGGAATGAGGCAGATCCTCTCTATCTTAGCCCAATCAACCTTGACAGCTTTCTGGGTTCTTATGAAACAAAGCAGGATGATGTAATATTTGGAAAAGGATTTGAGAGTGTGCTTCGGATTCTGCTGCTAACAGTTGCAATTCTATGCACATTATGCCAATCACTTTACACCAGAAATAAGGGACATCACACTGCTTATACATCTCTTGTCATGCTTGGTGTCCACGCTCTCGGCTACACCATTCCACTGATCACTAGTGTTGAAGTTCTGTTCAACTGGAAGGCGTACAGGTATTATTATGGAACCGAAGTGTACAACTTTGAGAAGTTCTACTGGTTTGAGGTACTTGACTTTGCTATCAAGACTCTTCTGCTAATTGCATTGCTCATAACTGTCAAACTTTATGAGAAAGTATTGGAATCTCGCAGCAGATAACTTGCTCATGGTAATATAGGGAAAACCCGAATCCCAAGTGATAAACTGGTTTTCCTCATCACCTTCGCCATTCATATAATTGGATTTTCCATTTTTTGTGTCATTTGTGAAATGCATGCAAGTCAAGCTTTTATTCAGCCTGGAAACTGTATGTGCGCTGAAAATAATATCAGAAAGTTGCGAAAATGGTTAATATTGTTGGACAAGTATTCTGGCCTAGTTCATGATTTCTTCTTGCTTCCACAAATTGTAGGCAACACTTTGTGGCACATCCAAGGTAAGCCTCTGAGAAAATCATACTACTTGGGCTTTACGATGGTGAGAATCTTGTTACATATGTACGACTATGTGAGAGATCGTATTCCAAATGATCAACACATCAACTATGAATTTCAGGACTTGAGTTTGGACTTGTACTCTAAGCTTGGTCACATTACGGTTGCAACCATGGTGTTGGTACTTTCAGTGATAGTATATTTTCAACAGAAATCTAACTATCAGAAGCACTGTCAGACAGAGAAGCCAGAGGAGTGCGAGGATCTGGGCCTGAAGTCTGACTTGCATGAAAGTCTGCTCCCCGAGTGATCCATTGACTCGAAGCCTGCGCTTACAACCCTCAACATGGTTGTCAAATAACTTGTGGTCATTTTGTAATGTATTTGTTTGCATTAGTAATGTAGTTGGCTTTTGTAGCCCTCTTTAGTTTGTGCTTGTACGAGTATGTTCTAAGCTTAATAAAGGATTCAGTTGACAACTCGAAATTGCACTTCAAAAGGTCTCATGGTATCTGATTCTAGTAGTGTAGATTGTTGATTCAATGGCTCCAAGTAGGGATTGGAAAATAGAAGATAAAAATGAGGAGTTTTGCATGACTAAAGCTTCCGTTTTTTACACTTGGAAAGACCAAGCAATGAATCTAGGTAGCCAAACTTAGTACTTAAAGAATGTTGGAATTGTTGGCTAATAATTCAACAAAATGAAAAGTTTACTTTTATGGCTTATAGCTTGCTGTCCCAATTGCTGCTGCCTCTGTACAAATATAAATGGCAGCAGATGGGGTAAAGTCAGGGATTGTATGCTATATTTTCTGCCCAAGTTACGGTACATGTTGAGTGCCTCTGCCTATAAATAGCAAGAGGCCTCAAGGCTCAAAGTGTGAGAGTGCAAAGAGCTCTAAGGTGAGAAAATTAGTGGGTGTGGAAAAAACTTTTGTTCTAGATTTTTTACTCTCATTGTATTTGAGAGGACACTTTGTGTAGTGAGAGATTTGTTGTTTAGAAATTAGTATTTCCTTGTGAGTGATTTATTTTACGGTTTACAATCTCTAGTGAAAATCTGGCTCTCTGTGGACGTAAGTGTATTTTGCCGAACCACGTATAACTATTGTCTTGTGAATTTGTGCTTGTTTACTTTATCATCACTCCTTTTATATTTGTGTGTGGTGATTAAGGGGGAGTAATTTTCCCAAAGAATTCAGGTGAGGGAGTAATTTTTCCAAAGAATTCAGTAGTTTTCTTATGTGTTTGTGTTCCAACTTTATACTGACAAGTTTGAGAAACAAAAGAAGGAAATTTTATATATGATAAAAGTAGGAAAATTCTTTAAGAACTTTTTTTTTTTTAATGTCCATTGCCATATGAAGATTTGACATTGGAATTGATAAGAAGATATCATGGTTTTATTGATAAGTCTACTTTAAATGTTGATCGCTATGTGCTCTCTGTTTTCATGAAAAGGTAAATTATGAAATGACAATCTCAAATTAAATAACACTTTATTTTTCCTTCATTTTGAAATAACGTAACTCAGACATGCATGCCAAGTTATGGTCTTTATATTTTCGATTTTGTACCTCTTCTTACCCAAAAAGAAAATAAAACATCTCTAATTGATCCAAAAAAAAAAAAATCTCTCACACAGATAAATAAGTTTGAATTGCAGCCAACAATCATATTTGAGCTCACCATTTTATAATACACAGTTAAAAAGTATTCACACATTAAATGCCATTATGCCAACAAAAATAAACTAAATAATAGCGGGAGCAGAAGCATTCATGAAAACTAGAAAGAAAAAAAAGAAGAAGAAAAAAACACTCTAAGGCAGGGCCTAGCCCATATCTGGTTCAGTAGTAACTCATTAATATGCTCTAGTTTTAGTCTTTGGACTCGGGATCAGAAACATCCAATATAGTCTCTTTGGGCTTGTTATGTTGTACTCGCTACTTTATTACACACACACACACTCAATGCCTGAGACGAAACTCTAAACTTTTAGACGAAAAATCCATGCGCCAGATTTTACGTTTCCATTTCTATCACAGAGGAATTATGTGCCATATACTCTCAAACATGTCCCCTATTTCTGTGATCTCAACAGAAGTTAATTGAATTGTTTCAAATCTGAATTTTCCAGATATAATATCTGGTACCTAAACTGTTTGATGAAATGCGCAAAAGAAATGTGGTGGCTTGGAACCAAAATTGCTTTGTCTTTTTCCTTCTGCATTGCGCTTATTAGTAAGGAAAATTCTTCTTAGACATTATATGCCATTCTTGCTTGTCAATTTTTAATATTTTTCACTATGTAACAATCTTCAAAAAAAATGCATCGTATCTAGGTTTTTATTGCAAATCAATACCCTTTAAGAATATAGTAGTAGAAGCTCATATCATAAGCTATATAACTTCTGTATGCATTTCCCATTTCAGTTAAAATCACATACCACTGATAGAGTTTGAAATTCATTCCAAGTTATTAGTAGAGCTATATAGAACAGAACAACTCATCTTCCATGTTAGTTTCAACCAATTATAAAATTCAAAGCATGTCTCCAACTTATTCGGTCGGCTGGCCAGCCGTTGACATACCCAAGTTTCCTTGAAATCCAAGAGATTCCTTTTCATTACACTACAATTATATGATGACCCATGATCCAAATTTTGCTCTAGCATGCAGTGCATATTCCATCACTGTTGAATCAGATAGTCAACACTTTTCTATTGGTAATACAATAATCCATTTTAGTACCAAAGCATGTTGGAAATAAAAAATTCATTTTACTGTAAGATAAAAACAGGCAGATCATCAGCTATCATAATAATGTTGATTGAGTAATTTTTTAGCCATGTGATCTGCATCGTTTTTTAATTTCTTCTCTTCTTCTTCTTCTTCTTCTTCTTCTTCTTCTTCTTCTTCTTCTTCACCATAGCTTGAGATGCTTGATTCGCCATAGCTTGAGATGCTTGACCATCTAAAATAATTCAATGAATTCATGCATGTTCTCCCTAGTTTGTTATTCAGATTACATTTCAAAGTAAAAAAAAAAAAAAAAAAAACTGAGTCTCTTGTGACTTTGGTAATTACTCTCTCTCCTTCCTTCCTTCCTTCCTTCCTTATATATGCTATTGTTTTTTTATTTTTTATTTTTTATGCTCAAGATATAAACAATTGTTCCATTCAATTTTCATCCTCAAGAGACACAAATCGGAACAGAAAAAGTGCTTCCAGGTCTGTCTTAATGATTGAAGTTATTTCAGAATTTAAATTGAAATTATATAGACTTAAAGATTGCAACCCATATATTTCCTCTGGTAATCTGTTGAGAATGAACATTAGAAAACTAGTTCATTTGGATCCATTCGAGTTCATTGCTTCTTGTATTTGTAAAATTCCTACTCTTTTTTTTTTCTTTTTCTTTTTTTTTCTTTTTTTTTTAATGAGAAAAAAAATCCTACTTTTTCTTTGTGCAGTTTCTTATTTGTTACCATAGAAGTTCATTTTCATAGCCAACATTGTTCCAGAGGATAAGGGTCTCCACCACAGTGATGGAAATTCTACCTTTTGTGCTTCATTTTCAGACGCTGTGGTTGCTGATGTTCATCTTTAGGCTTGCATCTTCATACGTGGATTTTGAAGCTCCAGATAATCCTTCGATAATGTACACATACAATCGCTGTGCTGAGATAGAAAAGCAGTGTGGTTCTATTTTATCATCAGCCTCTGAGTTAGAACCTGATGATAACAGGGGCGACAGATTAAGAAAAGAGCACTTCTTCTTGAATGGAGATTGGTACCAGGAGTCGGGTGGAGCACCATTTATGCCATTTGGTGTTCATGACATGCCAGGGCCTCCCATGAAATTAGTCTCTTTCTGGATCATGGACGTGGATCCAGTTTGTAGAGCTAAAAATGCGATTAGTATCAGTGGTGCATTGGAAATTGCCAAAACTAGAAGAAGCTTGTACTCGTCCAAACCTTATCAATGGTCCCCAAAATTTTATACGGCACGAGGGATCTCTAGTCTCACTATTCTCTTTGAAGGGATATATATTGAGACTGAGGATAATGGAGGAAAGCACTTGATGTGTTTGTTGGGGAATGCAACAATGCCTACTTCAAGTCAATTTGTTGATTCATTGGAATCTATGCATGAATATGGTGAATATAGGCGTGGGTACAAATATGAGCCCACCCTTGTACAAGATGATCAAATCATGCTTGTTCTTCGGTACCCCAAGGCCTTCACTTTAAGCGCTAGAGTTATCAGTGGTGAAATGCAAAGCATGAACCAGAAATGGAATCTCACATACTTCGATAAAATCCACATATCTTCACAGTTGGTAAGCTACTCGAATTACCAGTTCGGGGCTGTAAATCTCCTGTCAAAAGCTTGCAGTCCATATCCACATCAAGACAATTTGGTCATGGAAGATGTGAAAATGTTTACAGGAGATGGATTGTGTGAAAAGCTTATGGATGTGGAGTTGAATGATATTTTTAACATTATGCCAAATTTGGAATGTATTGGCTGGAAAGATTGTCATGGTAAGCTAGGCCCATTTGTTCTTGATAGGAAGATTGAGGCCTCTGATGAGGACTTCAACCAGTTCAAGCTTATCATTCAGAACCTTCATTGTGAGGCAAGAATTGATGAAAATGAGATGAAAACTGCAAGGGTATCTGCTGTTTTTCAAGTATTTAGTTCAAGCAAATATTGGCACAGGGAAGCTGAGAGGACAGGTCTGTCAAGCATGACACTTTCTGCAGAGGGAATATGGCATTCTTCAGATGGGCAACTCTGTATGGTTGGTTGTCTTGGCCAAGTTGGTGGTCGGTCAGAAAGATGCAGTTATCGTATCTGCTTGTACATTCCTCTTACTTTCTCTATTAAGCAACGAAGTATGGTGTTTGGGACCATATCTAGCATCAATGAGACAGACTCACATACTTCTCTAATGTTTGATATAGCAGCAAGTCTTAAATATTTTTCAAATAATCTGCATTGGAGTAGAAACTTAAAATGCTCCTACAGATATTCTAAGATTATGCAGGCAAGTCAGTTTCAGAAGAGAAGCAAGCCCTCCATATTGGGAACCATCCTTAGGAACTCATTTCTTCAGTATCCATCACCAAAGGGTAATGACGAAGCAAGTTTCACTTTTCTCTCAGATGCGCTCTCTAATCGTCTTTGTGCTGTACCACAGACATTACTAAATGCTCAGACATCTAGGACATTTGTCAAAATAGAGGTAGTATCTTTGGGTTCATCATGCGGACGTTATTGGCCCCATCTACATGAAGAGAAACATGAGATTAAAAAACCAGTCTATTCTAATTCTGGAAATTGAAATTTCAGGGCATCTCAGTATTACTAGCCAACACGCCAACAGTCTTTCTCTGAGGTTTGAGGGTTTATATAACACTCTTGTTGGAGAAATGTATCTAATTGGTTGTAGGGATTTCCAATCTTTTCAAAAGTTCATATACAATGCCACAAATCTTGAAGGAGGAATGGATTGTCTGATTGAAGTCAAGATAAAGTATCCACCCACAAATGCATGTTGGCTATTAAATCCAAAAATCAAAGTCTCCATCATCAGCAAAAGGAATGAGGAAGATCCTCTTTATCTTAGCCCAATTAACCTTGACACCTTTCTGGTTTCTTATACTGTGAAGCTGGACGATGTTGTATTTCGAAAAGGTTTTGAGAATGCACTTCGGATTTTGCTGCTAACAATTGCAGTTCTCTGCACATTAAGCCAATCACTTTACACCAGAAACAAGGGGCATCTCACTGCTTATACATCTCTTGTCATGCTTGGTGTTCATGTTCTCAGCTACATCATTCCAGTGCTCAGTGGTCATGAAGTTCTGTTCAAATGGAAGGCGTATGAGTATTACGGAACTGGAGTGTTTAACTTTGAGAAGTTCTATTTTCAGTTACTTGACTCTGCTATTGAGATTCTTCGGCTAGTTACATGGCTTATAACCATCAAACTTTATAACAAAGTACGGGAATCTCGCAGCAGACAATTTGCTCAAGCTAATATAGGGAAAACCCGAATCCCAAGTGATAAACTGGTTTTCCTGGTCACCGTTGCCATTCATATGATTGGGTTTTCTATTTTCTGTCTCACTTGTGAAGTGCCTGCAAATCGGGCATTTATTCAGTCTGGAAACTATAGGTACGGGAATGGTAATATCAAGAAGCTGCAAAAATGGTCAGTAGTGTTGGACAACTATTCTGGCCTGCTTCAGGATTTCTTCTTGCTTCCACAAATTGTAGGTAACACTTTGTGGCACATCCAAGGTAAGCCTCTGAGAAAATCATATTACTTGGGCTTTACAATGGTGAGAGTCTTGTTACACATGAACGACTATGTGAGAGATCCTATTCCAAATTATCAGAACAACGACGATGAATTTCAGGACCTGAGTTTGGACTTCTACTCTAAGCTTGGTCACATTACAGTTGGAAGCATGGTGTTGGTACTTTCAGTGATAGTATATTTTCAGCAGAAATCCAACTATCAGAAATGTTGCGAGGCAGTGAAACTGGAGGAATGTGAGGATCTGGGCCTTAAGTCTAACTTTAATGGAAGGATTCTCTCCGAGTGATCCAATGGCTTGAAGCCTGAGCTTACAACCATGAACATGGTTTTGTGAAGTGATTCTAGTTATTTACTTGAAAATTTTCTGGCCATTTTGTAATGTGTTTGTTTGCATTAGTAAATTAGTAATGTAGTTGGCCTTTGTAGTTCTCTTTAGTTTGTGGTTGTATGTGTGTGTTCTAAGCTTAATAAAGGATTCAGTTGACAACTCGAAATTACAATTTCAAAAGGTCTTGTGGTATCTGACATTCCCTATACTTGTAGTGCAGATTGTTGTGGAGTTGCATTTAACAGGAGTCGAACTCGGGTATTTTTCTTGGAAGGTAATCTTATGTTTTATAGAAAATGCTATGATCTATATACGGAAGTATTTTTTTAGCATAATATTCATGTGTTAAAACACCAAGAATTGCCATCCAAATTGATAAGATGATCTGATGGTCGTATTGAAACTATATACAACTTATTGGTAAGTTTTTCTTAAAATGTTTGTCTTTAGGCTTCGTTTGTTTTGTCGTAAAATATTTTTTAAAAAATAATTTTTTTTATTTTTTGGTGTTTGGTTGTCGTAAAATATTTATAAAAAAAAAAAAATTTTTAAAAAATTTAAAATTTAATAAAAATAAATTATTCATCAATTTTCGACAAGTTATTTTACATTCCCCACCCGATGGACTTGACCGCAACCTCGACGTATACCTTTACCAAACACCGACAAAGTAAAAATAAAAAAATATTTTAGTTGAAAAATATATATATATTTTTTAAAAAAAGATATTTTACATCAAAACAAACGGAGCCTTAGTATATGCATATACTCTTGTTTTCAATTCTTACAAGTCATTTACATAATACTGTCAACAAATTTTGCGACCCGGGGGCCTATTATATATATATATATATATATATATATATATATATATATATATATACTAAATATATATTTTTTCTATATTAAAATGAAAAAAATTCATATAATGCCCCTCCTAAAAAAATGTTAATTCATATAATGCCCCCTCCTAAAAAAGTTGATTCATATAAAATTATCTCAAGTTTTTATTTCTTTTCTCTTTTGCTCTTTAAATTCAATTAATTTTCTTAAAAAAAAAGTAACATTTTCCTTTTTGAAACCAACTCTCATTTTTTTTCCCTTTCTCTCATTTTTCTTTCCTTTTTTTAATTTTAGTCAACTATTTATCTTTCTTATACCATGTATTATTTTTTAACTAATTTTTTCCTATTTATATTTATTGTCATGTTTATTATTATTATTATTATTTTTAAACTGTGCCCCTCTAGATTTAATTTCTGGTTCCTTGTGCATATACATCTGAAAGTCAAAAATTATAAAATTAAACATAATTTTAAAGAATTCGTGATATTTAGGTATAATAAGCTTAACCAAAATGGCTGGTCAACCTTTAAGTTTGTATATTGAGGTTTAAGTGAAATAAATGAAGATAACTCGAATTTACCCAAAATATATTGGGCTCGTTACACTCGTTACTTAGTACACGCTCTCTCTCCCTCTCTCAAAGCCAGAGACGAACTCTGCAACTTTAAGACAAAAATCTATGAATTGCAATATTTTATGTTTTCATTTCTATCCCAGAAGAATTGTGTGTGATATTCTCTTAAACATGTTCGTTATTTGTGTCTACTCAACAGAAGATGAATTGAATTGTTTTAATTCTGGTTTTTCCAGATATGATCTGGTATCTAAACTGTTTGATACAATGCGCAAAAGAAATGTGGTTGCTTGGAACCAAAATCTCAAGTATATTTAGTAGAAACTCATCTCATAAACTATAACTTTTGTATGCATTTCCTATTGCATATTCACATACTGATAGAGTTGAAATTCCTTCCAAGTTATTAGTAAAGCTATATAGAAGAGAACAACTCATCTTCCTATAAACTATAATTATTCGTGTTAAACCATTCATCACAAATAAACATGAATCCCATAATCTTAGAACTTCATGATGTTCACATATCTATAATGCATAAATAAATAGTTAGATATAAATATCTCGATTCATGATGTCAAACCTTGTTGAGATTAAATCCAAAATCTAGATCCTTTAACCACGAACTAATCTGCAACTCTGATCAACAGGCAAAGGTGGAAACTGGTTTCTCTCTCTTGGCCTTTTGTACACATAAAACTTTTACGTATTGTATCATTAATTGTACATAATTGATGGAATATATGCACTTTTATAAAGGCAGAGAGAGGACCAGTTTTCCTTATAGTAACATAATTCTACTTTCCATCAAAATAAGGAATAAGAAAGGAAAACACTTCTCCAATAAGTAATTATAAGTTGACCAAAAATAAATAATATTAATTGATATCTATTTACTTACCCACCAAGTAATATGTCACATGTCCAAATCATGTGGGCCACAATTAAATAAATAATCTTACATTCTCCCACTTGGCACATATGATAATTTTTGTAGTGGTTTAGTAAAATAATCATTAATGTGCACTATAAATCAGATTAACTCATTAAATTGGTCATCATAAATACCATGGTAAATAAATTACCAATGCGAGTCAGGGCGGTTATATATCCTTAAATGACACAGTCCCTTCCATGTACCACAACACTAGTAATCTATTCAACATAGTCTATAAATGAGAAGTATCAATAATGATCTAACAATAATGTCTTTTCCAAGACTATTCCTATTACCACTTATTAAAGCAATACGTACATGTACATTAATTAATAGGAAATATCATAAACACATTTAATCAGCGCAAAATGTCAAATATATATAAGCACTATTTAAGCAATCCACAATTTAAAAATAATCATCATTGACTACATTTAAGATCCATTCTTTCAACATGTTCTATAAATGTCTTGGATGGTAGTCCATTCATTAATGGATTGCAATCATAAGTTGTGTGCTTATAATGATAAAGTATTTCAACTTTAGAATACCTATCATTTTTCATACAAGAAGATCAACAATTGCAGCATAAATTTTCAGCAATCTGAAAACGGTACCCATAACTCCAAGTCCTGAAATAAATTCTGCAATCATAAATTATAGCCTCAAAGCATGCTACAAATTAAAATTTTATAATAGACAAAGTAATCATAAATTACTTTGCACTTTTTCATAATATTGTTCCTCCAACCAAATCTTCTAGAACTCTTTTAATATATGCTTTATGAGATAATTCTAAAAACAAATCAATGTGATCTATAATGAAATATTTCTATTCCTATCACATAGGATGCCTCATCCATATATTTCATTTCAAAGTTCTTAGAGATAACTTTTAGTTTCATATAATAAATTAAGATAACTACTAACAATTAAAATATCATCAATATATAGAATCAGAAATATAAACTTACTCACACTAACCTTCTAGTATATACACTGATCAACAGTGTTTTTCTTAAAACCAAAAGAAAAAAATGGTATCATTAAACTTAATATACCATTGTTAGGAAGTTTGTTTAAATCCATATATTGACATCTTAAGTTTACGGACCATGAATTCTTTACCTTCTAATATGAAGTCTTCAAGTTGTTTCATATGGATTTCCTCTTATAAACTCCTATTCATAAAAATTGTATTCACATCCATTTGATGTAACTCTAAATCATAATAAGTTATTAATGCCATGATATTTTAAAAGATTCCTTCTTAAATACTAGAGAGAAGGTTTTTTTATAATCTCTTCATTCATTACACAGATTCTTGCAGATGTATCACATAGTCATCCGGAATAACAGAT